TTCTGCGCATGCTTTATTACGGAGCTTTGTTGACTTCCGACGAAAGTATACTAACTTATAGCGCAGTTAATAGAATATAAATGGTTTAGAGACTACATAAAAGTATAATAGAACTCATTAACTATATGTCGGGGAACATTTATGCAAAAATTTGATCCTTATTCGTCACGTGTCTATTCTAATTTGAACAAAATAAACCAATAGTAAGGTCTGAATTAACATGTTGTTCAAATCACGGTTGAGGAGCTAAGCCAAGCCATTGCTATTGGTTAGTTGAGCAAAAATACAATAGACATGTGACGGATAAGGAACCTTTTTTTGCCTAAACCTGGACAATAACATAGATAATGAGTTGTATTGTACTTCCATCTAGTCTCCAAACTATGTACGTTCTAATAATTGTAATATCACGTAATAAACAATAAAGGCTGGGTTTTTTAGTAAAATTAAATATATTCTCGCAGCCAAGTTTGGAGTTCCAAACACTTTAACCTGAATTGGTCGAGCAACCCATAGTTTTCATTCAAAAATTGTTTTATATTCTTTTCCCTATAATTCTAATAAGGCCACAGTGCGCGGGGCAGCATACTATAGTTGGGCTACCTGAGTTCTCGATCTCTAATGTTGTGTTAACTCTTAATATCCAACTGTATCACGGTGCATTTTACTACTTTAATTATGAAATATAGTTAGTAAAGATTCTTTAAGATATATAAGTGTAAGAAACGTCTTTGAAGTGTAATAAACACAATATTGCCTTATCAAATTCTATTGCAAATTGCATAAAAACTTGCACTCTGTAATTGGGCATTTAGTGCTTTTAACTCTTCTGCGGAAGTTCCTTTACTTCCTCAGGTTGCTTTGCCACATTTGTTGACAAGTTATTTCAAAACAGCAACTTCAGTTGTTTCAAACGGCTGAATTCAAACGACCTGTGCTAAACGACTACATGGCTTCAAACGACGAGTGCTAACACTCATTTTTTTTTAAACAGATCAGGACACAGCCAAAATTGTTGTGCCCGTTGTTTTGGTTGTTTGGCTTAGCTATTATACCTAGGACATTTTATAGAAAGCTCAACTACTTAGTTAAAAGGTACGTAAGTTATTTAGGAGTCCTAATTAGGTAACAAAATCTTAATTAGCTGGGTTGAAAAGCTTAATTACCTGGAGTAAATGACCAAACCTCATTAAATTAAACAGTCGACAACGAGATTTAACACGAAGAGTGACCTATCCTCTGACATAAACTCATTGCTGTGTCTTTAGTTTGTGCACACATGCACACATCTACATGTAAATGAAAGTCGAATGATCTTGTTGCTAATACAATGAAAAGTGAATATACTACAACAATCTGACTGATGAATCAGACTGAAGCATCAGAAATGTATGGGACGATGTCAGATATTAACGTTGCAATAGCATAGAATTTTTACTTCAACGAGAAACCGTCTTCAAATCTAGTAGTACTAACTACGTTTGTGGATTTTTGTTTTGTACTCACGTTTCATTAATTAATTGTTGTCGAGATATATTCTTTTACTTACACTATAATATGCATTTTGAGACTCGATTAACGAGGTGATCACTGAATGTTTTGAACAGTTCTAATTACCCCTACTTCGAAGTATATAAGGACAGTTAAAACACAACATTCTTGATATCATGCGGAATCAGTCGAATTTTATTTCAGATATCAGAAATGTACGTATAAAACAATTAAACGAAGTTTATAATGCTCTAAGGATATCAGTACAACAATAACTACTTTCAACTTCAAAAATTTCACACAACTAATAAGAAACAATCAACTTGCATTTATTTGCACTAACTAGTAACGCATAAGTGATAGGTCGTTTTCTTGTAACAAGCAAATCTATACAGTGAGCCATTTTGCTCATTCTTTTTCGCGCTCTTTTGGGTTCGAGTTGCTTGGCGCGCCAAAGTTTGGGCACAAGAGAGTTCAATAATTGTTTTCTTGGATGCAATTTCCATCCAAAAAATAATTAAGCGTATATAAAAAGACAAAACTCCGAAGGTTGATGCTTTTCAAGATTCCATACAGCCATACCGCAAGGCCAAGGCTTATTAATTATTATTGACCGAGTGTGAGGTCTGTACTGTGAAATATCAGACCGAGGCTTTTTAGTACAGTTCCACTAAATAAATGTGCTTGAAATTTTCGTTATCTCAAATTACTCACCTATACTGAGCAATCATTCCTTCTGGGGATTCTGCGTTCTTTTAGTTTTTTTGTACCGTGCAGTCATCTCAAACTGTGTCAATTTTACATTTTTCCTTCGGTCATTATCCTAGTATGTATAATCTTTTGGCCAGGATGTGCGAAACAATCACAGATATAGCAGAGAATTAGCGAGAAGCGTTGCTCAGCACTTGGTTAGCGCATGTTTGAAATATTGTTACGCGGTTCAAAAGCATGGCAAAAATCGTTGATACCCATGCACAGCTAGGGATTTTGACCACCGTAATCGATTTCTTACGCAATATTAGCTTAGGTTCGCTTTTTCAGCTTTTGAATATACATATTAACAATGAAATAGGGTTCTTTTGATATAATATTATTGAACAATAAATAAATCGTATGCATTTTACCTACCTCCTCTGCAGGCCCTTTTCGGGCAAATATGGCGGGCGGTGACATATTGATCCAAACAAACCATGTAATGTATTGAGATAAATTTTGTCTTTAAATATGGTACAGTTTTAAGTTATTAAAATTAGTCAAATAATTGTACTGGAAACGCAATTGTACTGAAAAGTTACAACGTAGCAAACCTTTTGAAGATCGCCGTATTCTAAAGCAATAACATTGGAATCGAAATCGCTTCAGTTCAGTCTTGCTTCAAGAAGAATGTCGTCAGGGTCTTCAGGGATTCAGTCTTCAGGGATTTTGTAAGTCAGAATAAATGACATGCATATGACCTAAGTCGAAATTCAAAAACCTAACTAACATTCTTTATCAATCACAAATACTCCTAAATAACCAGGGAGGAGCAGCGTCTTCAGATAAACAACTTCGCATTTAATGTGGTATAACAACCACATGCCTAAAATACATAGACAAATATTAAGACCTAAGGGCCTTCGTCAGGGGAGAATAAAAATGGCCAAAATCAAGTCAAGAGTAAACTCAACAGGCAAAATTTGGCTAGGAGTCAAATAACTATACGACCAGCCCCTCTCCATGCATGTATATATGCATGCCCTCAAGCTTCAGATGAACATAACCCTTGCGTGCGTCATTATTCGTGAATTTATTGGTATGTAAATAAAGTTAATCACCTCTCAAAGACTGTATTGACGTCAAACAAGACACCTTTTCTGGGATAAACAAGACGCTGACAGCTGACTTGCCGTTAACCTCGGGTCGCAGGAGCTCTGTAAAGTTTGCAATTTTTGTACATTGAATGTCGCTGTCGCGGTATCGAATGTCCACGTTATCAAGTGATTTGGTCGTGCGCATATGTTCATCATTATAATAAGCTAGCATTCGCCAATTTCAGTTATTCGTGTGTTTTTTTATTGTGAATTGACAACATTAGCTTTATAATAACAATTCTTAATAAAATTTCACAACACGATGATGTACCAGTGACGTACCGGGTGTTATGTGGCAAAAACCTCGACACGACCAACCAAGCAGAATTATCGTGTCACTCACACGAAGTAATAAATTTGTGAATACATTGTTGCAGCTCGTTGCAGAGGTTAGTCTGTCAAAGCCGAGGGAACTGTTCGGCAAACAATAGCCGGAGGTCAGAGGTACGTATTTAAATTTTTTTATAGATTATAGGTAATCTGTGTAGCAAAAATTCCGATGAATAATTACAACGATCTTAAAATTCAAAATATGATCCAACAAGACGTGCAAATCTGCACACTTGGCTTTCAGCAAGAATCTTGCGGGCATAAAGTTTTAAATATAGTTTTTATTTTATTCGAGTTGCTATTCGAAAATTTTACTCCATGGTTTGTAGGAGCCATCTGTTCTGTTGATAACAATATCTAGCAAGAAATGAATTCGGAACAATAAAACAAGCCATCTTTATTCTTGACATGATTAGATAAAATCAATATAATTATATGGTTATAAATTTTTTCTTTTTTACAATGCTTCATTCAGAGAAAATGATATTGATACTAATAATACAGTCACTATCCTAGTGAAGAACCTTTGTTTTTGCCGTGCTCACGTCAGGCTGTGTGATACATAGCTATGTAATGTGTGTTAAGAATAGTAAACATAATAATTATGTACTAAGTTGATTCTACCGGATTTCCCGTGACACTCCGCAGATTAATTTGTTTTGTTGAAACGCGGATTTGCGCATATTTGAATTCTAGTATTGATATACGATTAAAATAATTTGATATTCTCTCACAAAGTCACTTACAATCACACAGTGATTTTTATCTTCTGACTATTAATTGAAAATTGAACATGAACCTGACGGACTATATGTCGAACTTTTTGCCGCCATATAAGCAAACAACGTTTCGCCAAAGTTTTAGCATGCAGTAACACCTGTGCTCTTAATTGGGTTTAACTGATGAACAAGGAGTAATTTCGTTTTAAACTAATCCCAAAATTTGTTTACATTTCGTAGGCAAAGCCAATCAGAATGCTTGAATTTTTAATATTATATATAAAATTGTAAATAATGTACCTTTTTTCCAGAAGTAGTTAAAATGTATGCATTCGGCTTGGGTTACTGAAAATGTAAACAAACTTGCTGATTGGTCTAAAACGAAATTCTCCCTTGTTTAACCACAGTTTAACTGAGAAGGTTAATCACCGATGTAGAGCCAAGTAGCATCACATCATGAAGCACATTAAGCACAAGAGTGCCCGTAATTTCACCACAATTTGCCCCCCATAGCACCGAAAATATATGTTGAATACTTTACATTTATATTACACTTATTTTCCAATTCAGAGAGTACGAAAATTGAAAAATATCAACTTTTGAAACAATTATGACTTCGCGCAAGGATAAATTAAAACAGCAGTTGAATCTGGTGCCATTGTCGCAGGAAGGTGGATTCTTCCGGGAAACGTACCGTTCAAATCACGAAATCTTGAATGATGAAGGAAACAAAAGGCAGACTCTCACAGTAATCTATTATCTTATATCACAGGATGCAGGTGGAAGGGATTATTTGCACCAAAACAAAAGTGATCACGTTCATTTTTTCCACTGTGGTTGGCCTCTAGAGTACACCATTGTCACTCCATCATATGAAATTAAAAAGATTGTTTTAGGGCCCGATCCAAGTAAAGGTGATGCATTTCAGTTAACGGTACCCGGTAATTACTTGAAAGCAACTAGATTAATGACTGAAAGAAATGAGTGTAAAACGTTTCCAAATGAGATACCATTTGCATTAATATCAGAAGCTGTGACCCCTGGTTTTGAATATGAAGATCGCTTTTGTTATAACGAAGAACTTGTTAAAAAGTTACCTAAAGAAATATGGGCGGAATTAACTGAACTTATTCCTTTAAAAGGCTAAATTCTCACTTGCTAGTTTCCAGGTGTGCGTTATCTAGGCATATTTTAAGCTTTTCTTTCTCCGATATTTTTCTACTACTATATTTACTTGATTCAATTCAATATCTGAAACAAAGCGCCAAGCTTGATTACTGTATGTATTTCAAGTGCGAAATTTTTCTATTTGTATCGTGGTAGGAAATAGGAATGCACATGCAAGCACAACATTCAATATTAGTAGCTTTTTTTAAGAACAAAATACATTTGTGTTGTTATTTTTCTACTGCTAGTCAGTTCCAAATTTCAAAAAATTCAACAAAGATTTGCTCAGTATATAAATCAAATAAACTCGCGGAAAGTTCTCTTGCAAAATTCTTGGAAGATGAAAATCAAATTACCTAAAAATTAAATACTACCCGGTATATACGAAGCATTAGGATACTTCATTGGATATACCGGAGGTTTGACTTCAGCCCTTAGGTCCGAATAACTACAAACGGAGAAGGGAGTAGACAAGGAATGCTACCCCTTTTAGAACTCAGTTCTATTGTGTGCACTTTACTGTTTGTATTTATATATACATTGCATCTTGTAGGGCTTCAGGCTTGGTGATTACGGAACAAGGATTAGCACGATTTATATTATCAGCTACATTTAAATCAATTATGGCCCTGTCTACACGATGCCGGGATTTTTTGAATAGGCAAAAGTATTTCTCCGTTAAAATATTTATCCGCGTCAACATACACGTGAACACAAAAACGGTCCGAAAGCGCTGATTATAGAGGTTATTTGATCCCGCAATACACCTTCATGTTTTCCACCCACGTGTCACAGGTTGGATGTCGAATTCAAAACAAAAATCTACCAAATCCACAGCAAAAGAAGAATAAGAACTTTATTTAGACAGATCGACAAGCCCGACTCCTAAATATTGCTATTGAATTCTATTAAATGCAAGTCGTGTATAAAAATCTGTGAAAAGCCACACTCCGACATTTTTGACATATTCCTCGCAAATGCTAAATGAATTGGTGAAGATTTCACTCACCATGAAAATAACCTAAATAAGACTCATTTTACGCATAGCAATATAAAGTTGAGCATACGCCACAACACTTGAAACAAGCCTCGTTAATATGGAAAAGACGGCAGTACCAATACCAACTGAAGGCAGTCTTAATTAAAATATGTAAATATCCAAATAACAAACTCAGATATAAGTAATTTTGAATTTCGCTTCCTAATGAATTGAAGAAACTTGGATCCATGATTAGCAAACTTTTCCCCCAAAATGGCACAATTAGCAATTGAGGACCTTGTAAACTGTAGTTCGATACACTTATATCACAGGATACAGGCGGAAGGGATTATTTGAGCCGAAACAAAAGTGATCATATTTATTTTTTCCACTGTGGTTGGCCTCTAGAATACAAAATTGTCACTCCATCATATGAAATCAAAAAGATTGTATTAGGGCCCGATCCAAGTAAAGGTGATGCATTTCAGTTAACGGTACCCGGTAATTACTGATGATAACCCATTAGCTACTATGAATATATCGTTGTCGATTACCAAAATAATTTGATAGCTAAGCAATCAAGTGCCAGTCCGCAAAATGCCAGTATTGTGCCCTTAAGAAAGCTTTAAAATTTATGATCACTTTTTTTATGCGTGGTTACCGCTGTTCTATATGAATTATTAGGATTTGAAAGATTTCATCCATCCAGATTACTTATAAGCAATAGCATCACAAAACGCATCAGTCGTGAGCTTGGGTGCATATGCTTTTAAATTGTAATTTATTCAACAATGCTCCGCTCTTTGGAATAAAATACAGAGTAGATGAGGCACTGATCACAAAAAGGAGCAGCCGTACGAATTTTTAAATTCATTAATTTACTTCTACTTTTGTAGAAAGCAATAATTTATTCTGTTTCTTTGGTGTCATTTAAAGCAGAAAGCAAACTAATGTTGAATAAATTTACAATTAGCACATCAGCCAATTTTGCGAAGATATGTAATAGTCTTGTCCAAATAAATATACTACCATGTATCAATAATAACTTCCTGAAAGCACAATACCGGTCGATGTGAATGCAATTTATGAATTTTTTAGCTGGTACCGGTCAAAGGAAATATATATACGGAGCCAAGATTAATACATACAAACACATTTCGTAAAGCGATTTACACAGAAACCTAGTAGATTTATTCAGTACGGATACATATATCCGTACTATATGACCTCATATATGACCTCATCCCAATCCAGTCTTATTGACCTTGAGGCAGACTATAAACCTGGCACTGGTGTTTGTAGGAAAAAGAAGAATACAGAAACATTTTAATATTCTAGGTAAATATCTCCATTGTGTTCTAAGTTGAGGTATGTGAACTATCATTAGGGATTTGTACTGCGTGTCCCTAAAAAAGTACCCCCTATTGTCTATTGAAATCATTCTTTTCATTGCTAAGGACTAATTGTTGTTGAGACGCACGGGGGGTTTGTGATATGTTGATAAATGCATAGATGTCTTTTGACCCCGCGGCCATCATTTCCACTCTGCAGATCGTTATAATTGTTCTAAAAATATAATGAACATAACAGTATTACCTTTTTTGACATGCATGTAAATTTAAGATAGTATTTACGAAAAATGTAAAAGTGTGAAAGAATCTGGGCAACTAGTATTATAGCAAAATTCTCAGGCACATTCGAAAGCTTCATTCCTGACATTCCCTTAAACAAATATTTGATTATTAATACATGATAGCATTGGGTGAGTCAAGTGAAGTGACAAGTTTAAGTCAAGTGACACAGAGATTATGCCAGAAATCACGGGAACCATGTAACTATAGTATTTTAATTAAATTTAAAGCAAATGAACCATATAAGATGATTTAAAACTGCCAACTTCGCTTTCTGTCCAGACTGCACTCTTTCCAGTTTCAATATCTGCCAGCCTGGGGCCAATACGGAACGCATCTGCATATTCCACGGTTGATCTTATTACAAATCAACACGCACTAATATAAACATGTGGGAATGCACGCATAGGCGCTTTTCAACAGTTTGAGTGGAAGCGCTTCTTGCTTTGTTGATGTTGTCACAGTTTAATAATAGAATATACATGATTTGTAGACCACATAAAACTGCAATACAACTATTAACTATGTTGAGGTTGAGGTTGAGGTAGTCTCCATGTTGACGACGACTGGGTTGAAAATAGGTGACCCATATAGCGATATAGGTTTTCTAACACGAAAGTATAATATTCTATTTTATGCATTTGAATACCCGACTGTCAATTAAGGTGACTTGCAATTTTCCTTGCCACGTACTTGCACTACAAATCTGCAATTCTGCCTTTAAGAGATGGAAATTAGTGAAAGAGTCTTCAAAATGCAAGTATAAGAAAACGTCCATGGATTGTAACGTTATTGCCAAGTTCACAACTCGCAAAAGTATAATTGTATTGCAAGCCATTCGAAATTCCACCGTGTGACAGGGCCCTTAGGGGCATTTGCATAAAATATAGACGTTCAGTATTTGGGAGGGAGTTAATTCGCACATTACGGACTATAAATTTGTTTTAAAGTATAATTTAGGCTGTATAAACACGTAAATGATAAAGATACCCTTCTTCGCTTAATTATGGTCTGCCGTAAATAATAACAATTTTAAGTTTTTGTCGTCGTCATGTCCATTAGTATTGCTTTCCGTATGAACTCTGGTTGGGTGAGAAATTTATCTCAATGAATAATTTCAAGTCAACGTTTCTCTGGTGCTTAGGGTACATTTTTATAAAAGTTGCTTACATTTTCATCTACATTTTGAAAAAACGATCCATTAGATTTGAAAAACGTTAAGTGACGATCCCGTGATGCAATTCGTGATCGCCAGACTAATTATTCCCACAATTTTCCATAATAACCTTTGTAATTATAATAATAAAAACACGGCCAGAGGGGTATTGATATTCTTCTTTCGTCCTGTGACATTATACATCATAAAGATAAAAATGCTGCATAGTTTTCTTTATACATGCGTCGATCTATAGATTGATTTTGGCATATTTACTTAGTAAATGTCGTAAACAAGTCATTTTAGCCGATTTATGATATTCCGGGTGACGGGTGTATTTCAGTATTCAAATTAGCCATTGTTGAGGTTATCCGACGTAGTATTATGTTAATTGATAGTGTACTTTGCTTTCAGTTGATAACAATTGAAGCAATTTTTCATGCAGACAACTTATCCTAGCGACCGTCACACACGCGGCAATAATTATAGCTACTACAAGCGGCTTAAAATCGCATATTTCCGATGAGATAAGAAATGTGTTTTCTATGAAAAGTAGTACTGAGACCAGCCTTATAATATAGTAGGTATCACAGGTTAACAGCTCGTTTCAAAGTACGAATTATCATGTAGATTATATTATATATTCACTTTATGCATGACAGTTGTACATAATGAACGGAAATGCGATCAATTTTAGCGCTTGCATTAGCACAGACACTTGTCATGTTTATTTCACCTGTTCAGTCGTGTATAGTCTATCGCTGACGACAACGTAATCAAATCATAGAAAGTAGAAATTTTAGGCTGAAAGCTGTTAACGCTGTTACGTTTCGTGTGGTTTGGGCCTTTGGGGAGATATTTATCATATTTAATTCCATGGTTTGTTTAGATATCTAATATCCGTTATCATTGTGAATTCGATTAAAAAATAATCAAGATTTGAAACGCGATATAATTTTAACTCCACAGGACATATGTAGACCGAACAAGGATGAGAGAAGGTCAAGCGTCGCTTGTGATAGTGACATCAGTGTTTTTGTTATTCTGGTCACATGGTGTTGATGGCAGCAGAAGCGGAGAGCCTTTGATTCCGAAGCAGGAATGCAACAAAATATCCGGAGTTGAAGTGAGATATAATGAATTTTATGAGCTCTATTTGGGTCACGATGGTGCGAACGATGAACTTCAAAAACAAGGAATCGTTTATCGATGCCTGTCAGAAGCCGTCGAAGCTTGCTGCCCAGGAATGACTTTGAATTTTACCCTCGTCAATGCTTCGGTTGAGTATTTGGTCGAGGAAGATATATTACACCACCACGGTATCCGGAATACATCTCATTTGGTTTTTTACTTTCCTGAGTTTACAACCAAAAAAGATTTAGGTAATAGAGTGTGATGTTTATTGTCGTTTGTGATCAATTTATGAAAATTTATGCTTTGTTAACGTTAGTGGTTGAAAACATCCTTGATTTAAAATAAGGGACTGTGGCCATAGGGGATAATTGGGTTTTCACTGTTGATCGATCATCAAACTATTTTTCAATGTGAATTTCGCGCGCGGGACTGGTTTTTTTATTTTCGCATGCGATATTTTTCGTGCGAAGCGACATTGTACTTTTGTTTGTGAGCTCTCAACTACAACCATCTGGAACAAATTACTCAAATAAAAAAGAATAAAGTCGCTTCGCGCGAAAAATATCCGCTAGTGGCAAACCAGCTTTTAGGCTGGATTTCCACTTATGGAGAAATAGTTCGCTAGCGAAATATTTGCATATTTTGTTCAGAATTTTAACTGTATAAATAAATTAGTTCAACATGACAGTTCTCAATTGAAAAGAAAATACGCATATACTTCGCTAGCGAACTATTTCTCCGCAAGTGGAAATTCATCCTCATGCAAAACTATAATCTGAGACTGAAAGACAGTGAAATATTCATATCTAAAATCCGCTTACACATATCCCTGAAAGCATTTGTTAATATTTAAGATATTTGTTAATAATGCGTGTTTCATACAAACAATACCAAATTAATTAATATTTCATACTGCATAATTTGAGTATTTTTTGACACTTCCAGAAACATGCTCTCGATTTTGGAAAGCAATATATGTATCTTCTGTTTAGAAGTCTATTCGCACAAAGTTCCGTTCTTAAAGTTACGAAAGTCACCCGGGTTTGCTCTTGTGATGTTGAGGAGTGAGTCACACTTGGATATATCTGCGTCTGATATAATTACTCCATCGTGGCCAATCTTTGCTCTGGTTCTGTCGCTATCCTGGGCAGTTGGGATCGTTGGTTGGTTTTTAGTAAGTTTTCGTAAAAGGAGTCTAGGTCAAAGTAAAGCGTAGTGCATGCTTACTCATATTTTAGATACCGCATTTATGTGTCAGCCTACAAGCGTCTATAGGTCTAAACGAATGATAAAAAATGTGACACAGGCCGTAATAGTGCATATGACTCAGGTGTATATTATATGCAACTAATATTGTGATTATGCTACTCTGAATCACCATCCGGGTAAGCTGAAAAATTAGCTTTACAACAGGGCTCGATTTCCACACAGAGACAACTGCATGGCACCCTTGTCGTTTATCAGGAGGGACAAGAGGCGCAAAAAAAGCCCTCTCCAGTAAAGGATTATACCGTCCGCAGACGTTTTAAGCAACGGTAGTAATATAGCTGCTTATGTCACAGTTTTCAATAACTCTCTAATATGCACCGATACAGAAATGCGCTTTCACGAAAATCCTCTTCCACCCCAATTCAATAAGAATTAGATGGGATGCATTATTCAGTATTAAACTCGTGATTTCTAAATCGTAGAAAAATCATGGTAACGAGGTTACTATGTCAAAAAATTCCTCTATTTAGGAACACTGTTATAATTCCGAACAATTCCGCAAACCTTTTGTTCGAGGAATGTTTGATGGTTTTTGGTGGGCCTTAGTCACTATGACAACAGTTGGGTGAGTATAAGAATTTGAGTGTCTTGTACATTGAGTTACATGACCTCGCTATTATTTTTAAGAATTTTGCAGGTTGTATCATTATCAAGTATGCATGTAGAAATTACCTATAAAAAATTGCCATACGCTGAAACTTTGGCTTATTTTAAAATGATGTATATCTTTGTCGCTTGAATTCCTTTTCTTATTATAGATTAGAATTGAAAATTAGTTTTGTTTTCTGTTTTATAATACGTTCTGCTTAAAAATAGTCATTACAGATTCATCATAACAAAATTACTTTGCATTTGGTTGTTTGAGGTATCTTGGGTCATGCCGCAGTGCTCGGAAGCTTTCGAGCTTCGCGGGAAGTGACATTTTTAATTTGATTTCAGAGCAACCACCTGGAACTAATTGCTCAAATGAAAAGAAATCTAAAACCTGGTTGAGTATCGACATTATAAAAATTCGTTTTAACATAGTGAAATCTACTTATAGTCTTTCTTTTTCAGATACGGCGACAAAACGCCGAAAACAATCCTTGCTCGTATTCTTTGCGTTATCTGGATACTGGCAGGAGCGGTGCTGCTTTCACTGTTCACAGCCAACACAACATCTATTATTACTGAAAGCAGAATAAAGAAAAACGCTCAGACAGTGGGCAAGAAGGTGAATTTCAATCATTACTATTACTTTGAGATAAGTTGCAAAAATCAATTATATCACAGGGTTATATAAACAGTATCTTTATACTCCTCTAAAATTGCACCTGGAATGGACAACTAGGATAATAGACCAATTATGATCTAGGTAACAAGAAAATAAATCACCAAAGCTAAAAAGAGAATACTAAAATTAGTATAATGTCAAGTTTGCCTGCAAAATGTGAAGTATTACGGGAGATATAGCCTTGCGAATTAGGCAATTTTCTATATACTCTTGTATTACAGACGAAAGTGTATAACTATATAATTAGCCTTTCTCACGATGACGTTTTTGGGGTACTTTCAATTTTCTCAAATGTGTTTAAAAATTATAACAACATGAAGAGCAATTTTTTTTAGAATCAACAGACCATCTCAAGAATAAATTCAGCTTAAAATTAAAGACAGTCGCCGTTAAGAGCTCTTACCGTTTTGAAAAAGTACCCCCAAAATGACGGCATATTCGTCATCGTGAGAAAGGCTAATTTAGTTACACACTTCCGGCCAAATAAAAAAGTATACAAAATTTGTTTGGCTATATTTTTCGTAATTTACAACATTTCGCAGCTAAACTTGGCAATTTTACAAAGTCAGTTAATTAGCATGCTCTTTTTACGCCTAAGACTATGTGCACACGAGCGTCGTTTTCGAGCGTTTTCAAAATCGTTTTTATTCAGTTTATCGATTTGACGCCCTGTCCACACGATCCAAGGGAAAATATGCTTAATATGTTAAATTAGCTTCAACTTCTATTGTAAATTGACGGTGTTTGAAACCGTTTTGGCGTGAAAACGAAAATGAAAACGCTCGAAAACGTTACCGTGTGCACATAGTCTAAGTTAAGAGTTGGTCTGTTATGCAAAAGGTCAATTATTTTGTTAGGCAAATCACGGACAAAATCATCTACGGTAGGTTAAACTTGTATAGAGAAATGGTACACTAGCGAAATATTGTCATATTTTCCGTTCAATTGAGAACAGTCAAGTTGAACTAATTTATTTATGCTGTTAAAATTCGAAAGAAACTAATACGCAAATATTTCGCTAGCAAACCTTGTCTCATTAAGTGGAACTTCGTTTAAGCTTCAAAGACATCGTTCACTTGACCTTATTCCGCTTGAACATTTTATAACTCCTCATAAATAAATTATTTCATTTATTGTCAGATTGGATTAGTCAATATGAAACAATTTGTAGAGGCGGAACTGAACCTTGGAGCTCAAATCATTGGTAAAAATGAAATACTTTTATTTGTTGAATATATATTTATAATATAACATTTATAGTACGCGCGTGCTGATTGGTCAAGAAGCGTGTTTCTATAACTGCATAGAAACATGAATTTTCCTGCCGAGCTTGACAAGCGAAGTAATGTAATGAGAATTTATAATTGAATCGAATTATAATATTTGTACAAAATCTTTTTATTGAGTTATATTATAAAAGAAATGTAAATATTTTTTCCTTTGTTTCTATATAGTTATAGAAACATTGTGGGAGTTTGGGAGAACTCGAAATTTATTGATTATTTCTCGTTCTCCAAAACTCCCATGCGTGTTTTTTTTAACAATTAGACAAATTTAATTAATTCAATTTTATACGGTCGCGCGAGCGAATTTTTCCCAAACGTTCACCATCACGAATAGACAATGGTTGAGTAGCCAATCAGAATGTAGGATTTGTAATAGACAATAGTCGGTGTATACTAAAACTGTATAGAAATGCGGAAAATGTTTTCTATTTCTTAAATGTTGAATAATATATTATTTACTTGTTAAATAAATAATTTATGAATAGCAGCATTATACTTCTGGGGCCGGTTGTACGAAGGCTGGATAGCGCTATCCACCGGATAGTGATTTTTTTAACCGTTTTAAAAATGCTTGAAAAGCAACAAAATTTTAGCTTTGGAAGCAACAATTATTAAAGAGGATCCTCAATTTAGGAACAATAAGGTTTAATCAAAGTTTCAGCCAACAACGGGGCGATTTTAGAGCGATGGAAAAATCACTATCCGGTGGATAGCGCTATCCGGCTTTCATACAACCGGCCCCTGAGTGGCTAGCTAATAGCTATACCGGGAAATAAATTAAGCCAATCACGCAAGCTGCAAATAATTCAGTTATTTGTTATTGGTAATGAGTCAAGTTGTCTGTAGCTGCGCAGTAAACGCGCTTAGTTGGGAACTAATGCTATTTTACTTAATTTTAAGTTGGGTTTACCGGAAGACAAGTTTCTCCAAATCTTTAAATTCCCTCAAGAAAAGTGGACCAAGAATCTTTTAATTTTCTAGAATTTCCAAAAGTTGAACTTGCTTTGGAAGCGCTGAGAAGCAAAGAAATAGACCGTCTGTTGTTTCCACATTACCTTGATCTACTTTATCTTATGTCAAAATCAGATAAAGTGTCTCTTCTGTCTCCTCGTGAAATATATATCGTGAAGGAAATGGATAAATCTTTCCAGATTGGAATGGTATTGTCTCATGCTGAAGCATCCATAATTCAAAATGTAGAATTCTATACATGCTTGGAGGTAATGACATCTAGATTCAGTTCAAAGGTAAGAGAATCAGATAAAACGTTGATAATGGGGAAAAGGCTCTTTTTACCACTATCAGAATTAGCGGGAGGCGAGAATGTGGCTAATCAGGCTACATTGCAGAGTTACATCAAATAAAACTGTTATAAATTGTATTCCTTCAATAGACCCTAAATCATATAGGAATATTAATTTCTACCCATTTGCAGCCACATCATAGTATTTTATACAACATCTCACAGTTTTACTCCACATTCAGATGCGCATATACCTAGACTTTCTGGGGGGTGCAATGTTTTATATTTGGGATGTGAAAATTGTTAAAAGTGATGCAGTCCCATACAGCAATTTTCGACGTCCTTCTACGAATTTATCCGCACCCCAATCGGTGGCATCCTCCAGTGAGATGATGGTCTCTCACTTCTTAATTTGAAAAACTGTGCAACTACATATTTAAAATGAATGCTTTACAATGCGATTAATTGAGAAAGTTTTTTTTAATTCATTGTAAAAGGAATTTCACGATTTGCGCTTTGGTTGGCGTCGAGAGAGAGTGAGTCTCATTATCGTTGGAAAGGGCCTCAAATATATTTTACCTGCTTTAAAATTTAGTTTATTTTTTTAGTACGCGTATGATTATTCTCTTATCGATGGCTCTATTGTTGACAATGTTAAGGATACATTTGATACGAAAGTAACTCTACAATTTTTCTTCGTAATTTTGGGAATCATTGGCTTAATGTTTCTTATTGGAGCAGCTTGGGATATTTACCACCTCTACCGCGATGGTGGTGTGTTAAAGATAAATTTTCCAGGTGCGCATTTTGTGTGGGTTTTGTTATTTTCAGGTTTACTTTTGTACAGTGATACCTTTTCAAGCTTTCTTCATTAATTTTACAAGTGTCGCAAATTCAATTTTTCATTGGTGACTTTGCAGAAAAAACCTTTACTCAGTTAATCTACCCACAGTTAAATAGAATATACATGGTTTGGAGAGCACATGAAACTACAATGCAACTCATTAACTAGTATGTTGAGGTAGATTTATGCAAAAAATTATACCTTACTCGTCACATGTCTGTTGTATTTTGCACCCAATAGCAATTTTTTAATTGACATATTTTTAATGGTTGATGAGCTTAGCAAGACGAATGCCATTGGTAAATTTGACTAAAATACATTAGACACGTGACGAGAAAGGAACCATTTTTTGCATAAACCTGGACAACAACATAGTCAGTGGCGTAGCCAGCATCGATAAGTGGGGGTGTCCATATTCATATATTCATGTAAACAGACTGTAAAGACAATTGATTTGGAAAGAAATTAATCCTGCGTATCACGAATATATTAATATAGGCCCCCAATTATCGTTCTGGCTACGCCGCTGAACATAGTTTAAACAACATAAATTGTACATGTTGATATATTTGGAAGAGAAGTTCTAACAATAAAAGATCCATTTGTTGCTTATAATATATAACTTTGCATCAATTGTGATAGCATAATATATATCCGGTAATAATATTATCTATTATTAATCGTGTTATCTGTATTTAGATTGCGTAAGACGACAGTCAAGGCCCGTTTGACCTTGTAGCCTAACCAGAAAGATGACATGTAAATCGTAATCCAATGACATCGTCACGAAGGTCGAAGTAGTACATTCTGTACATTATATTTGATAGATACTGTAAGATATATATAGATATTGGAGTTTGATAATTTCGTCTAAAACACAAATTTCTTCAGTACAGCAAAACTATAGAAAAAAGAAGCTCTGGCACAATCCGTATATTGCGCATTTCCTGGCTATACGAATAGGCTTTGCGCATGCGTTATACTACTCCAGCAGATATTATAAAGCTTTCAGCCCAAGGAAATTGACATAGCCTCAAAGAGGGCTGAAATTAAAATCAAAGTGAATGAGTGTTTTATTATAGATAAAAGAAAACGATCGCTTCTAAAAAAGCGTCGTAATCTATCGAACGAAACTGAATTTATGCGACTTTTTTGTTTGGGCAGGGTGGATTGAGAACAATTTTGGAAAATTGTTCAAAACAAAAGTTGAAACCTGAAAGTTTAGACAAAACCTCGAATGTTAGGCTTCTTAATTCATTTAGATTGTAAAATAGCTGTATCCTAAATTTCAAGTTTCGAGTTTGTTAATAAGACGACTCGGAAACAATGGCGTTGCCAGCCTGACGACTTTGTCTCGCTATGTAAATTTCGAGTTATTAAAATTATTCATCTCTTTAGAAATTTATCAGTTTATACAGTGAATAAAATATTGGCATAGCCGGACAAATCTTCTGGATGGCTACGCTACTAGTCGAAAATGAAAGTTTCTAGAATGCGATGTTTATTTATTTGCTCGAAATAAATCATGGCTTTGAAGACACACAGTTAAGTCACTCCTTTCAACCTCTATTTTGAGCCTTTGGAAACGTTCGAGGCAGCCTTTCAATGCTTATTACGGCGCAGGGTTGACGCACAAAATTTGTTGCAACACTATACGAGAATCTCCTTATAATATATATACAATAATCCCGGAAATCAATTCCATGTCTTATAGTATCCAAAACTCGCAATATTCGTAATATTAACTGATTCGTATCGAAAACGGAAATCGTGGGCGTCAAAATTTTAACGCCATCGCTTGCGTCATGCTGAGGTCATTGTTAAATTCCAGCAGCTCTCAGAACTAACAACACGTACAATGGTCGTCTGTATCATTTTTTCAATTCAATATGTTTGAATTGTATATACGTGCGTTTTTCTGGTGGATTTTTTCACCTATCTATTCCTTGCTCTCGCAAATTAATCTTTTCAAGGTAAAAAATTCTATAATTAAGTGAATTGTGTATAAAATATTCTCTCGTCAGCGATCGAGATTTACTTACAGCAGTCACTTCCGAGATATGAGAATCATCGCTACAATGCTTGCAATGTCGAGTATAAACGACGTCGCTGTCTTTAGCACAGCGAATTTTGTCATCGATGTCAAACAAAATCCTATATATGTATGTTGTAGGTAATATAGCGATTTCCGGCTCAGAAACCGAAACTGGCTACTAGTAAATTAATAAATCCTACATGATTTTAAAATTTTAACCCTCATGATCTGATGATGATCATGAACTGCGCAGTTCGACGATCAGAATATAGTTTGACGAATCTTGTAATCTTTGATATAACAATTTTTGTCAGCAGTTGGAAAACTCGATTGATTTTGCGAATGCTCAGGCTAAAATTGTAATGTTGCGACACAGTATCTAAAACAGTATCTAAAGCTTGCATGACGATGCAAGCAATAAGCGCAGCATGTCGTCAAAGTGACAGGTCATAATATGGGGTGATGATTTGTTAATTGGTAATTCAACAACGATTGTTTGAACTCAATTGTATAAATAGTTATATAAATAAATTGCTAGAATATAACCAGGCTTAATTTTGATGTTTGATTTTTAGGGACGGCCAAGTAGCCCAAGTTACAATTTAGATGTGAATGATAAGGTTAAAAGATGGGTTGTGGTTGGAATTTGTCTTAACGTAGTCCTATTACCTGCCTTAAGAGACATTCTTGACACGGAACTCCAAAAATGGTATAATGTTCTATGCAGTAGAATAAATATTGACAAGCAAGTTTATTCCTCGCATAAAAAAAATTTACCACCTTCAAAGATCGAGCTAAAATATGAAAATATCAACTATAATAATATGATCCCAAAGACCAGACGGAATACGTATGATTATAAAGTTAAAAGTAATTTGTGTTTGGCAAAGTTATTTGTCCAACCTTTTATGGCAAAGTTTACTGGTTTTGACGAAACCATGGATTTATCAGTAGTTTTGACGGTTTTATGTGAAGCATCACCATTTGCGTCTTCTGCGGCAGACGCAAAGAATGTAAGATCAGACATCAGAAACGAGTGGGCTCACAGTAACTTCTCGAAATGGACACCGCCAATGTTCAATGATGCATTTCAAGGAATGAAAAATTTAGTAATAAATACGGCAAAGCTGTCACCAGATACCAAGAAAGATTTGTGTGATCGTCTAGAAATTTGGAGAGGTATAATTGCGATCTATTTTTTTATTGTACACGCTTTTCTTACTTTGTTATTAAACCAACAGAATATTATTTTAGTGAAGTCTATTTTAGGAAATTTATTACCTCGCACCAGAATTAATTGCTACACAATAATATTCTTTTAAATTATTAATCAATAGATCGATATATTGGTCAATCAGTCAATATATCGATCAATCAATAAATTAATTTAATCAATCAATCAATCAATCAATCAATCAGTAAATAAATTTTTATCATGGTAGTTGTACTAGATTTGAAAAAGGCGTAAAAATCGAAACTAAGAAGTTTTTCGGGGATGTTTTTTTTTTTTTTTTAACAGCCTTTTGGTTTTTTCCAGAAAGGTTTTCACACATTTTAGCCGTACGTTGCTTTAGTTTTGTCGTTTTGTTTACATTTTTCACAGCGGGCCGGATGCAGAATTCCGGCCGCTATGAGACGCTTCTCAGCCAATCAGATTGCTTCATTTACACAGTTAAAAAATAAATAGGCTTCATTCGTATGGTTGAAATGCTTGAGGAGACAACATTTTATACAAGTATGTATACGGTTGATAAAACTTTTCACCAAACAGCTGCTCAAACTAGTTAGAGGTTTGCGAACAGTGCTCGAAGTCTGTGGTTCCGACGATTTTACGGTTTATGTTTTAAGGCCATGTTTGAACCTTTTCCCGTAAGCATCTCCATGCAATGCATCTCATATTGCTTAATAGAAGGCTTAGGGCCTGTTTACATGGAGCGAGTTACCCGGCTAGGCCAGGTGAAAACTGCATAAAGACTAATCAGGTTAAGCCTTTGATCGGGGAGTGTCGCAACTCCTCGCAAGAATGATTTTCATTGCTGAACTTCACAATACATTTGTGTTTCAACCAATGACATAGCTTCGTTCTTTAGAAATCATAGAAAAGCATTATCGAATCGGACGAAAGCTTCCGAGCACTGCGACATGTTCCCTTTGATCTGATGCGCATTTTAGCTCGCCTACCCGGGATAACTCGCTCCATGTACACAGGCTAGGTTTTTCCTGCACTCTAAATAAATATTAAAACAAAAACGACTAATATTAACAATATATGCATGCTTTTGTATCTTTGACACAGTTATTCCCTATTAAACATAGGCTTGGATTTGTCTTTTGAAAAATCTGATGATGAGACAAACAGGAAGACCTTGGAAAAGTTGTTAGCTAAACTACAGACATTACTTGAGACTTTGAGATCCGAAGATGATAAACAGGCGAGTGTGTCTTTTTTCTTCTCATATGTATTAAATTTACTTCCAAATATGGAATATGTCTGTATATGCAACGGAGCATGAAGAGATGATTTTCAGGAATTGAAATGAGCAGATGATCCTGGCAGTCGTATAATCACCACAACAATAGCATGTGCTTGTTTGGTGTCATAAAGACTTATTTCAATACCTCAAAGTCCTCTCACGCTTTGTTGAATCTCGGGTAACCGCGCTCATGTAAACAGCCCCTTACTTCAAATGAGGTATAACAACTGCCTAAATTAGACGAAAACACTTCACGACCTGGGGGCCTTCGACCGGTTCGTATGATTGTAAATAGGGGAGAACATATGATTGGTATTGGGGAGAACACGTGATAAAAATAGACCAATAGGAAAGAAAAAACCAAAACATATTCGAATAGATTATACGTTGCCAAAGAGACGCCTGATTGGAAGCCAAAAATTGCGAACAATCGAGGAAGCATTGAGCGGATAAAGGATGTGGAGTGTCTTGTCTGTGGATGAGACGCATTTCCTGTCGTTGACGAGCATCGTTAGTACCAAAGATGGGCAGAGGGCTGGAATTCTCATATCCGTGACACGATGATTAACAGAGGTAAAGTGTCTGGCAACAAAATGCGTCTGATCTACAGACTGGGCACTCTCCATTATAAATAAAAGACTATCTTTCATTTAAGTAACTCCACCTTTAATTATATAATTTACCATTTCCTTGTTAATATCAAAACTGTAATATTACATGTTGCAATATTGTTTTTTGCCATATCAGGCTCAATTGACAACGTAATGTATTTCAATGCATGTGTTGATTTTTTGGTCCATTTCTATCACGTGTTTTGCCCAAAAATTTTTGTTCAGCAATGTGAAGTTTATAACTATATGATTATGTGCGTTTATTTGCGATAAGGCAAAGCCCACAACGCCAGATGTGAGTTGGGTTGCCTTTGTAGAGTTCATATCCTTGCGGTTAAGCACTCCAAACCTAATTTTCCACCCCTGCTAGGACTATTAGATTACACTCTGGTATATATACCGCTTGAACCGGTGAATTCTTATGTAATCCCAATTTTCCGAATGAGGACCATTGAACTGTAAACAAACTGGAATGATAACCCAGGGGGGGAATTTGAAGCCAGTGCTTTTTACTTTTTCTGAGTTTTGAGCCGAAATACTTAACGCCTAATGTTGAGCTGTATATGAAATTAAAGCGATTAAAAAGTTATATTTCGTGTAGAAATTTCGAGACTTGAGCTTAAAGAGAAATATCTAAAAAATAATTGAAAATTTCCTGGGTTTTTTCCGATTTGTAATTGTTTTTGGTTTTTTTTAATATTTCCTTTGCAGTTCAAGTCTTAAAATTTCCACACCAAATGTAACTTTTCAATAGCTTTAATTTGACACACAGCCCAACGTCTGGCATCAAGTATTTCGTCTCAAAACTCAGAAAACTATTTTGGCTTCAAGCTAAATAGGAATGTTTGTCAGGAGTTATCGTTCCAGTTGTATAGAGTTCACTGATGAGGACTGGTAAAAAACTGCATGGTTATCGACGCGGTTCATCATCCATAAAAAATTATGAAAATAGCACTCTATGACTATGATAAACTAATATAATATCTATACTAATTTAAGTGGCGGTTTTAAAAATTAACTTCCAGAATTTTTAAATTGTAAGCACTCGGCAAGCAATATTAAATTTTAGGAAAGGTTCCGTTCCCTGAGTTGCTTAGCAAGCTCGATATCCTTTAACCAATATAGCTTAAAATTAATTGTGACTGTGACAGGTTTTTTAAGTTTGTGCTCTTGCCATGAAATCAATACACATTAGTCATTGTCGCTATCGATTTTTTATTAAACGATACCTTGTTTTCTACACCTTCAGATGAAAACAATACTTAAGCATCTTGAACACGTTCAATCAAGTTTTCAGACAAAAATAGAAGAGCTGGAAAGCAGACTTGAAAAGTGTGAAAAACTTACAGCCGAAAACTCGGAAAGAATAGAAAACCTTGAACAATCGAAAGATAAACAAGAAGAAGAAATTCCTTATGTTTTTAAAGCTCCTCAAAAAAACCGATATTTCTGCGGGCGAGATAAAAAACTTGAAGACCTTGAACGTATTTTAAAAACTGACGACCCAGAGCAAGAAAACGTATTCAAAATAGCAGCAGTTTGTGGTTTGGGAGGCATTGGTAAGACTAGTCTGGTAACTGAGTATGCGTATAAAATGAAGGAGTTTTACAGTGGCGGTGTTTATTGGTTCTCTGCGGAAAACGACACCTTCTTTCAAAAGTCTGTCAATGAAATTGCCCTGAAAATTGGTTCTTCTTCAACTGACAACTTCGATTCAACATTGACGAAAACCATCATCAGAATTGGGAAAACAATCAAACCATGTTTAATCGTCTTGGATTGCTTAGATGAACTCTCTCTTTCTTCCAATATTTTGAAATTTCTTAGCCTGGTTTCCAGAGACTGCCCTACGGCAGCCCTTGTTTTGATTTCTAGAAGAAATAAAAGTGTGCTCGTGGAAGATATTCATCTAAATCTTCGCGAAGATCATTGCCTCAGTCTGAAATGCTTCGAAGAAAAAGAAGGAAAGGAATTCTTATCTCGCCGTACTGGGCTGACACTTGATGAACACACAGAGCCTGATGCCACAAGTCTTGTCGACAAACTTGGGGGATTACCGCTGGCATTAGAGCAAGCCGGAGCTTGCATTAAAGCAATCGGATGCAGCATATCTGATTACCTTGAGAAATATAACACTGAACATTTGAAGCTTTTGGGAAGAAGGAAAGCAAAGCCATTATCGGAAAATGAATCTCCCGAACGTCTAGCAGTTAACACAACATGGTTGTTAAACCTTAACCACATTAAACAACAACCAGGTGGCGTAAATGCAACCTTACTCATGAATGCATATGCATTCCTCAATCCGGACGAGATCGAACAAGAGCTAGTCAATATCGGTCAACCGCCAATTGAACACCAAAAATTTGCTGATAACATGAAAAAGAAATTCGACCGCCGTCAAGCCGTTACATTGTTGACTGATTTTTCACTTTTCATGTATGTCCATGCGCAGTCCATCAGCACCCATCGATTAGTTCAAGAACTAGTCAGAGAAAATCTAACCCCTGAAGACGAAGCAAAGAGTTTTAGTCATTCTGTACGTTTGCTTTCTTTCGCATTTTTCAAATGTAAGAGGGTGAAGTCACCAAGAGCGCTGCTTGGTCGCACTGACATCGCACAGCAGGAATTTCCTGAAAGCCATTCTGAGTACCATTTATGGTCGAAACTTTGTCATCACGGTTTTCATCTTTTTCAGAATATGGAAATCCTGCTTGAAAATCTTGATTTAAAATATCTACAATCGCTTTTTGTTTTTGAAGCTGCGGAAATTTTTCATGAATGTGCTGTTTATCTCAGTGTAAATTCAAAACACATTGAAGCTAAGCGAACTCTGAATCTTGCTTACCGAATAATAGATTGGATTCCTTCAGAAGAGTACAAGATAGTAAAGAAACGTCTTTCATCAGAATCTCTCTCTGTGTCTGTCATTCCCGTGCCGAAACGATTGCAAATGGTAATAAGAAATTCTTGCGCTCCCCCTCTGAGTGCTCGCCTAGCAATTGAAGGTGGAATTGCAGACGATTCGAAATCGCATGATCTGAAGCAATGCATCGAAAAACTTAGGAAAGAAGGAAATGAATATTTCAAAGAGGGTCATTATGTAAAGGCATTAGAGGCATATACTGACGCTATTGATAGAAGTAGAAACACAAATTTTTTCGATCCTTTACTGTTGACTAACCGTGCCTCAGCTTTCATCAAACTGAACAAGCCTGATGACGCTTTGAGAAATTCAAATGAATATATATCACTATGTCCACTTTCTTGGCAGGGTTATTCTAGAAAGGCTTTGTCACTGGTTCGAAAAGACGACAAAGACGGTGCAGAAATAGCTGCAGCGCTTGCTCATTATTATAACCTTTTGGAAAATGATACTTGCATTTTTGACAAATACGAACCGTTTAAACAAACTTTCAAAGGTCTAAAAGAGCGAATTCGCATTTGTGATTCTGTATCACAGTTCGAGTTAGCAATCAGGTCAAACAGTTCACAAGACTGTCATGTAATTATAGTTTTGGGGTCAAAAGAGTACTCTTTGAACAGGGAAAACCAATTAATCACTCCTCTTAGTGCCAACCAAACCGAGCCTTCCCTGCCTGTTAAAAACTGCACCATTATTGGTGCACAACTTCCAAAAGGCAAAGTTACCTTTAAGATCGATGGTAGCAAAGTTCCGGTTTTTTGTGATAAATGTATACTTGTGAATCTCTTATTTTCTTTGGCTAGAGGTCAGATAATTTGTCATACTGGTTCTAGTGTTAAAATCCTTGACTGCAATTTTACCTCATGTGATGACAAATTTGCAGCTGTTGTTTCTCGTGGTGAAACTATCTTCCAAAGGTGTAAGTTCACCAACTGCCAGGCTGGTGGGCTGATATGTGAAGGACCAGAGGGCAGTGAAGAATCAGATGGTACTAAAGGCCGGGTGCTAGTTGTTGTTGATGACTGTACATTTTCTCATAATATGTGTACTGGCATTGAAGTGCGAAACCAAGGAATACTGACAGTGAGAAATAGTCGCATGTATAACAACAAAACGGTTGGCTTGGTGATAGGACCAAAAACAGAAAAATGTGAAGCATTCAACTGCCAATTTTACAACAATTCCTCCGACGGAATAATAGTCACTGGAGAAGCGAAGGGCGTTACTAACTGCCAGGCTGATAGTCTGATCCGTGAAGGCGCAGAAAACTTTGAAGGAACAGACGGTGCTGAAAAAGGACTAGCTAAATGGGTTGTCGATAGCTGCACATTTTCTGATAATATGGGTGCTGGCATCGTTGTAGAAAACCATGGCATACTTATAGTGAGAAATAGTCGCATATATAACAACAAACTGGTTGGCTTGGTTATAGGACCTAAGGCGGCGAAATGCGAAACATTCAATTGCCACATTTATAACAATTTTTCCGAAGGAGTATTAGTCACTGGAGAATCCAAAGACGTAACTATCATGCGAAATCAAATCTCTGAAAATGATGCGAATGGTATAGTTGTGAAGAATTCGGAAGTTGAGCTAATAGAGAACAAGATTAATGACAATGAGGCATGGGGAATCTGGTCACAGGACAATTTTCGGTGTAATATCTTGATGAATAACGTTTTCCGTAACAAATTTGGAGGTGTTCGTGATGCAAATGGAATCGATAGAGATTCTTCAACGGAGGTTGTATTGAATACATTTTACGATAATTTTGGTCCGGGATTCTTTCATTCTGATGGCCCCCATTCTGCAGAAAACCGATTTAAATCTTCTGAAAATAGAGAATATAACAACCAAGAAAGATTGATGAAACAAAATTATTCCTCTTTTCGATGTTCTCAATGCTTTCAAATATCGGAGTTGAAACAATGTGAGGAATGCTTAACGACGGCATACTGCGGGGAGAAATGTGAAGAAGAGGACCGTTTTAAACACAAGAGATTATGCAAAGTTCTTCGTACGAAATCCAGCTTATTGCTTATCACCGCCAGTTCTGAAAAGAGAGGCTGGAACTTTGTTTATTTGTGAGTGCAAATCGAACTTTACCTCTACCAAGTTGTATTCGGAAGTTAACGTTTTGCTTGATGGGATAGAAATGTATGAAACCGATGAACTCGAAGTTGTCAGGAATCTCATAAAAGAGTTTGGCATCTTGTCCGACAGTAAAGAACTAGAGAAAAAGCTTAGTTTTCACGCCGTATTCGAAAAGGATGGTTCACTTCGAATCTTCATCAATGATATTGCGAACTTTTAGAGCTTTTGAACCTTTTTTACCTAATGAAAGAAAACTTTTAAAAAAGGGAAGAATCTTATCAAATTAAGGCTATATATGTACGCCTGTAAAATTTCTAGATTCAAATTTTATGACATTTTTTTTATAATAATTAATGCCGAAAGATTATTCTTTTTACTGTTTGTTACGTTTACAGGATATTGGCAATAAGAAATTGTCTTAAAAAGTTTGTCTTATTTAAAAGAACTCTAAAAACTATATGTTAAGTTTTATATTAAATTTTCATATCTTGCTTAGTTCTTGAAATATCTAGGCTGAAATTAACGAGTTTTCCGCCATCTTGTTTTATAATTAGATCTAATTAAAAGACGTCGCAACCAGGGAAAAATCATAAACGCGTGCAAAGCGTATGAGTAGCAAGCGTATGAGTAAATTAAAAACATTATCGATGATTTAGTATTTAACATGATCTACAAGACACGAGAAACACTAAAAAAATTACGCTGGTTGTGACGTCATGCATAACAAAAATGTTTATACACATCCAAGATGGCGGAATGTACCATTAATATTGTTAAAAATGAGCGGAATATTCTATCAACGAAGAACGATAAAGCAAATCTGTAAACGGATTTTGCATTATACTGAATGTCTCTTTAGAATAAGACAGAGTTAATTTTTATTGCACATGTCCTTTAAATCTATAAGCAGAATTCATAAATCGTAGTGAGGCACGTAATCCAGTAATTTAAGAGGTTTAATTTTATATACTTATGATTATATTATCTATAACATCAATCATTTCTTGCATTAAATTCATTTAGTGGTATTAATACGAATGCAAAAGCGAATATGAAGTTGTGCGGCAGTGGTTATTCTAAGCTGGAGTTGTTACCACTTTTTGAAATTGTAAGAAAATTTCTGGATATGGAAATCATTTAAAATATTTGGGTAGCTGTAGATATACAATTATTACTAATTTCCTTCTCCAAAAATTTACGTACAATTTCAAAAAGCGGTAGCAACTCCAGCTTAGAATAACCCCTGTTGACAGTGTTGTGCGGTATTCTATCTAATGGTAAACGTCCAAAAAACTGTTTTATCTGTGCGATGTATCGGGGAAATTCCTTTGTGTATTTTTCAATGATATCATGCATGCGAGCATCCGAATTTGAATTTACCAATGGAAGAGTCAATGGAATCTCTTGCATCATCACATAATTAGTTTTTTTAATTACTACGGAGACTGAAATTCAACCTCTTTTATTGGAATATAGACTCTGATCACATGATTGACATAATCGTTCGCACAAGAAAAACTGTTTGTAAACATTTCAACTCTCCCCTTGCAGTGTATTTTGTCAACGAGTACCCATTCTATGGAGGATTAACTCTATATGAAATAAAATTACAGTACTGTCCAGAAATAACCTGACACTCCGGTTGCGGTTCGGTTGCGGTTAGGTTGCGGTCGGTTGCGGTCGACCAATAGAAACCGCAGATGACCGCAAGGGAAAAAGTACGATCGCGGTTGCCTGAATGTTATAAACTGCTGAGAAAGACAACACAATAACCAAATCGAAAACATCGGCTTAAGAAATCTCTGTCAGAGTCAGTGAGACCGAGTTTCGACAGAGGTTTTACCTCTGTCTGACCTCGATTCAACTGATTCATGATAAAAAGCTTAGAGAAGAGGGAAATAAGTATTTCAGAGTTGGACATTATGTAAAGGCAGTAGAGGCATATACTGACGCTATTGATAGAAGTAGAGATACATATTTTTTCGATCCTTTATTGTTGACTAACCGTGCCTCAGCTTTCATTAAACTTAACAAGCCTGATGAGGCTTTGAAAAATTCAAATGAATATATATCACTATGTCCACTTTCATGGAAGGGTTATTCTAGAAAGGCTTTGGCACTGTTTCGAAAGGACGACAAAGACGGTGCAGAAATAGCTGCAGCGCTTGCTCATTATTATAACCTTTTAGAAAATAATACTTGCATTTTTGACAAACACGAACCGTTTAAACAAACTTTCCAAGGTCTAAAAAAGCGAATTCGCATTTGTGATTCTGTATCACAGTTCGAGTCAGCTATCAGGTCACACAGTTCACAAGACTGTCATCTAATTATAGTTTTGGGGTCAAAAGAGTACTCTTTGAACAGGCAAAACCAATTGATGACTCCTCTTATTGCTAACCAAACCAAAACTTTCTTGCCTGTTGAAAACTGCACCATTGTTGGTGCACAACCAAACGGAAAAGTTACCTTTAAGATCGATGGTAGCAAAGTTCCGGTTTTTTGTGATAAATGTATACTTGTGAATCTCTTATTTTCTTTGGCTAGAGGTCAGATCATTTTTCATACCGGTTCTAGTGTTAAAATCCTTGACTGCAATTTTACCTCATGTGATAGCAATTTTCCAGCTGTTGTTTCTCGTGGTGTTTCTATCTTACAAAGGTGTCAGTTTACCGATTGCAAGGCTGGTGGGCTGATATGTGAAGGATCAGAAAAAGAAGCAACTAATACGATTATTGATAACTGTACTTTCTCTGATAATATGGGTGCTGGCATTGTGGTGCGAAATCTTGGAATACTGACAGTGGGAAGCAGTCGCATATATAACAACAAAACGGCTGGCTTGGTAATAGGACCTGGTGCTGCAAAATGTGAAACATTCAATTGTCAGATTTATAACAACTCTCCCAAAGGAGTACTAGTCACCAGAGAATCTAGGGGCGTAACCCTTACGCGAAATCATATTTTTGAAAATGATGAAGATGGTATAACCATGACCAATTCGGAAGTCGAAGTAATAGAAAACAAGATATATGATAATGAGGGATGGGGTATTTGGTCGGAAAACAATTCCCGGAGTAAAATATCGATGAATGACGTTTACCGAAACAAATTTGGGGGTGCTCGTTCTGAAAAACGAATCGCTGGAGAAGTTAACCTGAATACATTTCACGACAAGTTTTGGTCCTGGGTCTTATTACGCTAACAACAACAGCTACTTTTCAGAATTGAATTGCGAATCTGTTTTAAATAAAGAATGTAATAACGAAGAAAGATTGATGGAGCAACAGTACTTCATCTCACGATGTTCCCGATGCCTTAAAATGTGTAAAGAGTTAGAACGATGCCAGCAATGCCTAAGCACAGGTTACTGCGGACACACCTGTAAAAAACAGGACAGTCTTAAACACAAGAAGTTGTGCGCAGTTATACGTAAGAAATGCAGCATATTGTTCGCTCCAGTGAAAAAGAAAGGTCTCACAAAAAGTGGCAAAATGTTTATTGGTGAATGCCGAAAGCACTTTGAGTCTAATGAGTTGGATTCAAAAGATAAGTTGATGTTCAACGATATCGAAATATTCAAAAACGATCAACGATGGATTGTTGATAATCTTGTAAGAGAACTCGGCATCCTATCTCATGGAAAATGTCGAGAGAAGCAGTTTTATCTGTACGGCGTATTTGAGAAAAACGGTTTCCTTCGTGTGTTTATCAACGATATCAAGCATTCGAACTTAAATTTACCCAATGAAAGAGACGATGCAATTCCTGCATCATCACAAAATTAAGTTTTTGATTTACCTCTCTTATTAGAATTTAGACTCGGATTACATTCAATCTAACTGTTTATGAAAAAACCCTGTTCGTATGTTTTTTTTCAACGAGTATTTTATAGAGGATCAACTTTACATAAAGTAAAATTAAAGCAGTGGCGAATCTAAGAGTATGTGTATTTAATTAAACAGTATATAATTATAAAAAACATAATCGTTTCATCAGAACTAACTTGGCCACGAAAATAGAAAGTATCGCGCTATTCAAAAAAAAGTACTTCTACTCTTATGTATAACCAGTTTGTGTGAATCATTGGAATACTGAACATTTTTATATTTAAATTATAATCAGATTAATTCGTGATCAATGATTAACCTGATTCGTCGTTGGTAAATAATTTATGAATTCATTTCTATTAGTTGATTTAGATTTTAGACTCAACGGATTAAAGTAGATTATCAAAACAATGTTTATATCGGAATATTAAAGATTGAATACCAGGAAATTCAGAGCATGAGAAAAAACGAAAAGGAAGACCATTGTGTTGCAGCTTCCTTTGGTTGACTTTGGTTGACCTGACTCAGCATTAAGGTGGATTTCCACTGACAGCGAAATTGTTCGGTAGCGAAATTATTGCATATTTTCTTTTGAATTTTAACAGCATAAATAAATTAGTGCGACTTGACTGTTCTCAATTCAAAAGAAAATATGCAAATATTTCGCTAGCGAACGATTTCGCTGTAAGAGGACATCCGCCTTTACGATATGTGAAAAAATTCAAGGAAAACCGACCTGTATAACAGGAATTCTGACCGACAGTGGTTCACATGATGTGCCATGTGTGTTTATTAACATATGTAGAATTGACGTAAATATTGTACTGAGTAGGCTTCGTATGGTGGTAACTATGTGAACTACCATTACATTATGACCTTCTCCATATGAATACGTCGAATTATCTTCGTAATATTACTGGCATTAGTGTGATCGTAAACGAAGTGTCATCTTGGTGAAATGTTTTACAGACCGATGCCCCGAACTCTTAGACGCATTATGGGTTCGCGGGAGAATTTAGATTGCAGTCTTTCAGATGATTTGGATCAGATTGACAAGACGTCGTCGGCTAAAGCTAAGCCTGCACGGCTTATGGTCGGAGGTAATTCTTTTAAGCTTTGATATGTTGAGATAATTCGTTGAAAATCTACCTATTGCACATATTTAGCACTGTGTACTTTTGTAAACTTGTCGTCTAGAGCCTGATTTACCTTCCAATCGCTAAATATGTAGGGTACCTTCATGTACCTTCATAAAAAGTACCTGATCATAATTAAATACTGATACATATGTGATGTGATAAGAACAGTTCGTTTTTCTATTGAAGTACTTCCCCGTTGGTGTATGGCTGTTGCAATATATCAATATTATATATAATTACCTATTTGGTAAAACAAATATATGTAGGAAATTCCCTTTGGTAAAAGGGAATCTCTGACAATCCAATCATGCAGGCCAATTTAGTGCAGGGAGTATTACAAGATCATATTCTGGGTTAGTTGATGTTTCAGTATATACATTGTCTAACATATATTATATGTATATTATAGGTGTGTTATGCTAGAATCACATAGGCATGCCTAATAGGCATTGTTTAACTTAGACATGATTATACATGCTGAATACATGTATGTATAGACAATAGACCTTATGCATGACATAACAAGCTGTGACACAGGAAATGTGAAGTTTAAAATGATTTAAAAAGCTGGTAACAGTTAGACCAGATTTCAGTGATCAACCTACATATTTGTTTGGCGGATTAAGGACTTTCCTCATCATCATCTCTAATAAGTTGAAAACTCTGTAAAAAGAATATTATTTGGACAAACACAATACCTACATCAGAGTAATGAAGTGTACATTTATGGGGTAAAAATTAGTAACAGGGAAAAATGTGGTATAAATATTAAAATATTGAAAGGTTTTTATCTATATAACAATTAGACAACGAGTCTGAGTTGTGTAATTGTTTTAGTACGCACCCTGTACCCAGATATATAAATTTCGAGAAAATAATCGATACACCGCAATTACACCGAAAAATATTTTAATTCATTTAATTTTATAGGGTCATGTGAGCGAACTTTTCCCAAACGTTCACCATCACGAATAGACAATAGTTGAGTAGCCAATCAGAATGTAGGATTTGTAATAGACAATAGTCGGCTGTATACTAATATTTCATATTGTTTTTCCTTGTTTCAAAACCATGCTTGTTGTAAATTTTTCAAGTTTGACAATTTATGCTACTGAACTCAAATGTTTGATTAACATAAATGCTAGTTGTAATTGTTAATCTTTTGGAATTTTATCAGCAGCTAAGGTGGTAAAATTATAAGGGTAACAAAACAACAATGTATATGGACTCATATTAATTTTCTCATACTAATTTTTAGTATTAAATATTGTGTAATCTTTTTGGTTTTTGATATATAATACACTTAAAAACCCTCAAACCTAGTTGAAAAACTGCAAAACTGTTATTTTGGGACTTCGAAATTCACGACATACAAACATACACATTGAAGACATACATTCAAGACACACATTCAAGACATACACAAAACACGTGTTTTCTGAAACACATGGAAGAATGTATGCGATGAATAATGAAAATATGCCCTGAAATTTTAATTTTATCATTTTTTTAAAATATACAAAACAGTTAAACTAGACACTTGTTAAAAACGTTGCCTCAACATGAAACTAAAACAAGGAAAAATTGAGAGAAATTAAAATGAACTTGCTACTGTTTAATTTCAAAAAAAAACACGTGATTTTAATAACAAAATGTTCAAACGATAAAATTGTTTTATACAGTCACCTCTGTACAGCCCAAGTTCGTCTACAATGAGATTTCTTGAACTAGCTTTCTAGTTGAATTTATTTTGAGTTTCTATAGAAGCGCTGTTTGTTTATTCGTTTGAAATATGGCACACAATGAAGTGATGAAGCACTCCTTTTTCCCCGCCATTATGCGCCCTTCGGAAATGTTCGGAAGTCGGCTTTTTCAATTATTCCCTGAAAGTCAATCAGAATAACTAGTGCTGTATACTAGTGCATCGATCATGCAGCAATTATGCACTAGAAACCATTTGGTAATTATTTTATCAAATTATAACGGTGAAAAAACGGTTTACAACCCTTATAAAATCCCTCCCCAAGTGATTTATTATATTTCTCGTGCAAAATTCACATTTAATGTGTCACTGTAACTATTTATAATTAAGGTGTTTCTACACCATTAACATCTAGTTGACCTGAAATGCTTCTCTACTACTCTAAAACTACATAAGTTTTACGCAATTCTGCAATTTTGTACAACATAATTTATATACACCAAATGTTACATCATATTGTTTATATTATCCTCTGTAAGAGTCACCAACCGAGCAAGCTGAGGACCTTTAATTGCTCTTCCAACTGAGCTATATATACTAATGTGCATGTTCACTGTATTCCGTGTATTATGGTCATGTTACACGCCTAAAAACACTCAGGTTGATGCAATATTGATATGAACAGGATGGAGCAATGTTGTGCTGCCCACATTGTTCAGAGTTGTTATCAATATTGAACAATATTGTTACACCCGATTCAGTGTCAACAATATTGTTCAATGTTGATAACAACTCTGAACAATGTGGGCAGCACAACATTGCTCCATCATGTTCATATCAATATTGCATCAACCTGAGTGTTTTTACGCGTGTAATATTTCGACTTCCCTGATTGGTAACTCAGAGTCACAACATCACAATGTTATGCTATATAGCAATTATTGGTTCAATCAATCGATCAGCGGACGTGTACGAATCGGGCTCATTGTACAATTGTTAATTATACGCATAAATTGCACTATTTAACGAATGGAAATCTTTGCAACAATAAATATACGTGGTGTAACTTATAAACTGACCATTTATTCCTTATACATTTATCAAATTCATAATTAATAAAAACTTTTTAACTTTTAAATTGTGAAATTCGATCTTGACCTTGCCAATGTGTGGAGAACAACCGCCCAAACCTAGTTCGGCTACAACTAGAATGATAATTGCCAATCATATTCTTTCCGCCATATTTTAGTATTCAAAACTCGCCTGGTTCTTTCTTTTCAGTTATTGCGGGTCGTAACTTGATAAGCATGGATGTCGGTGGTAAATCAGATCCTTACTGTATCATCACAGTTGGCGAAGAAGAAGCAAAAACAGTCGTACAATACAATACTGTTGACCCGGAGTGGAACGCCAGTTTTGATTTCTCTTTGTACCAAGGGCCACATTTTAAATCAAGTGAGTATTCGATTGTATGTAGCATGGTATTTCAACTCTCTTTAATTCGATTCAAATCTTAAGGCATATGGATAGACACACTTCTCTTTGTAGCTGGCTATTTCAGAGAAAAAGTACGTGAAATGAATGAAGCTTTTATTTCGCCAGGGTTGTCCATCCAATCACTGTTATCAACTTGGGCTCTGTATAAGCCGTTGCTCAACTTAAGAATCTTCAGTTCCTAGTTGCATGGAGAGAGGGACGCACTTCGAATTCATCAACCCCCCCTAGCTCGTAGGCCTATGTTTCCACTTTATGACACGTATTTTAGCTAGAGGAGGGTTTTCCTTAAATTTCTTGTTTTCGTTTATTCGTATTCAAGGTGACGAAAATGTTGAGGATGGTGATTCCGAGCAATGCATCGTCCATTACATCATGATTGATGTGTGGGATAAAGATACGTTGAATAGAGATGATTTCATGGGTCGTGTGATGGTTCCAGTCTCTTTACTCAGTCATGAAAGTTTGTGTGGTTGGTTTCAACTGGGAAGAACGTCTTCCCGTGATGCCCAGTTCACTGGAGAGATATATCTTGAACTACGCATTAAATCCCAACTGGTAAGGTTTTGTTTTTATTAGAAGCATTGTACACCAGTATTTTCCCGTCCGCTGAATCTGCGAACGACGTAAGGTTTAATGAGAAGTACTGTATGACATGGAATATAATATGAATTTGCCTATATAGCGCGGTCAAGTGAAAATATGGTAGCAATCGAAACATTACAAAAATTACATTTGTTTGCACGATCACTTTATCGATCGAATAATTCCGCCCAATGGAAAACCGCCCGGCCAATGTTTAATTTAATTCTAAGTATATGAATATAAATTATTTCAGTTCTGGCTTTTAGATAGATTATATATAGATGGTTTAATGACAAAATTTTGCAGCCATGAAAACTGAATTACATTTGGTCTTATGCATGTAATATTAATCAAAGCCTATTTTGTAAAATATGAAATGTCAATCACTAAAAGGTGATTAAATAAATAAATATATATCTCACTAAAACTAATCTATATAATAATTTTGGTTGTTATATAGGTTCTGTGTATTTTAAGTGTGATTGGTTCATTCGTAGTCACATGACTTTAAATAAATGCAATGTTTCCCGCCAGGGAAACAAGTGAAAAATTGTTGCCCGCTTCTTGTCATAACAAAGTAAAGTGGGTTTTTTTTAAATGTTTTTGTTCCTATATAACAAAACACTTAATGTACACTACCTCGGGAAATAGTGAGTTTTGTTTGCCCTCGAGTCTCAACATTCAGACTCTTGGGAAAACAAAACTCACTATTTCCCTCGGGAGCATACATCAAGTGTATAATATCTACATGCTATAACTATAACATCGAATAAAAGTCTTTTAGTTTTGGATTACAAACTGGCATTAAACTAATAACACAATATTTGTTTAGCCGATTACCAGATGGAATGCTGATGAACAATTGTACAAATATTGCAATGAACTGAAAGATTTTGAACTTCCAGTCCAGTGCATATCGTCTGTTCTAAATTTTCCAGGTGAGAATTCAATTTCTCATTTTTCAGTGAGTCAGGCATGCTTTATAAAGCTTTATAATTTTAAATATAATTTTATAATTTGCGATCCATCAATGCACTTTGCAAAAAGCCAGAATGATTCTCGACTGGTGAAAGGCGATTGCATAGATAAAAAAAGGCGTTATGAAAACCATTTCAAATATCCTTAATGTATACACAAAACAACCAACTTTGTACACTTTAAAGGCATTAATTTCCCCCAGAAGACCTGTTGTGTCACTCGTCTAGCTATATAATGTTATTGCAAATAGTCTTAACATTTAACTGATACGGCCGTTGAACTTAATTTCCGTATCTTGATTTAATAATCGATACCCACTCAATTCCAGCAGTTGTGCATCTTCTGGGTAAACAAGCCTCAAAATGCACCATTTTGACTGACAACACTCATTCATTTATTTCGACTTTCCTGCTTAAGGCTCTGTTACACGGTGCAATTTTTCTTGCAACTTGCAACGCAATTCTACTTCTAAAAAATGTAAATTAGCGAAGAGCCTTGCATGCAGAAAAAAGTGCATGAAGTGTTATAAACACAAACGTTTCGTTGTTCCCAAATGTATGTACATCTCTCAAAAGTAGAATTGCATTGCAAGTTGCAAGAAAAATTGCACCGTGTAACAGGTTCTTTAGTTTTACTAGCGTTATAATGTTCAGGTGAGACGGAACGTGTTGAAATGCTACTCGAGAATGTTGTTATCGAAATCAGCAAACAACGCGATGTTGGAACTGTTTACTTGACAAACTACAGGTATAGAAAATTACATTTAATGAAAAATCTTGATAAATCCGCATTAATTAACTTAGAGCAACGTACGCCAGAAATGCAGCCGGCGAGTCACGTGAAATAGCACAATCGTTTGGCGGAAAATAAAAAAAAAAGAAAATACGATGAGAAAATGATGAACTGGCAGAACTGCCGTTATTACCGATGTTTTGTAAACGCCAACCTCGTACCCAGGGTCTTTAACCTACGTTTCACGGCCCACGCTCTAATATGCGTCAGCACAAAAGTGCCCACCGAAAAAAAGTCATATCTAAACAAGAGGATTTCGCTTTTGCGTGTTTCATATTATATTACATTGGTTTTCTTTTTGTCGCGTTTAGACTTTCCAAAAATCCTCAATCGTGTTTTACTGGGCGATCAGCAGATCCGGCGATGAACGGCACCTTTTAGCAATAAAAACAATTTTCTCTCGATCATATAATCGGTACATGGTCCGTCGGCTGTTATTTTTAGCTTTGTTATAGTTTAAAATTTCCATAGGTTAATAATTGGATTTGCCGGAAAAAAATAGCGAGAACTATATAAGATCAAAACTGAACAATTTCACTCTGATATCTAATGGCAAGTAGCCGAATTTCTTCATCAGAAAACTTCACATTTATACCAAGGCGAAATCTGGAATGTGATCACAGAAACTTGTACACACAAGACCGGATTAATTCACGTGTTTTTTAAAATGTACTGGGACATCGTACATGCATGCATGCATGGGTATTATGTATAGTATTGCTTTTGAAACACAAAATGAAATGATTGGGCTGTACGGTGAAAATTATTTTGCTGCATGTATAGCCCAATTTTGTGTTTTAATAATTTGAATCCCATCTTTTCAGGCTGATAATTATTTGCAAGTCTAACGAAAAATTGTCCGAGGTAATTGGAGGGTTTATTTTCTATTTTTCTGCTGCGTTAAGTCGTAATATCCCATTCAATTTCTTAGCATTTTTGTGTGCGCAAAAAATTGTGTACCCGAGAGTTTTTTCATTAAACTAACGCATCCCTTCTGCATGGGCTAGACTATAGGGGTGCACAATGTTAGTAAATCATGTTAGAATAAACATACCCAATTACAATTATCTAGATAATTGAATCCTATCTGCATGAGGCTATGAGACCGGTTGTACGAATGCTGAATAGCGCTATCCACCGGATAATGATTTTTAAAAAAATGACGGAAAGTATGTAATAAAGCTTTTAACGCTCACAATTCCTAAAGAGAATCAAAGTTTAATTACAGTTATAGCGAACAATGGGAAATTAGGGCGATCGAAAATCATTCTAATGGATATCGCAATCCAGATATAACGCAATCCAGCTTTCGCACAACTGACCATTTATTTACTTATTTATTTACTTTGTCATTTCATCTCGAGCAAACCTATATTATGATCCCTTGCAGTGTAGCGCACGTTTCCGACCACCACAAAACAGCCAGCACTGGATTCATTTCTAGTGTACAGATGTTTAGCTAATCGGGTCAATAACAGGCTGCCTATATACACGTACCTAACGTGACTCAGCGGGTTTGCCTCAGTTTCAATTTTGTCGTGCATCTTTTTGTCTCCTGAGCAGTCGTGTAGAACTGGTGCCTTTGAAACAAAGCAATGTGCGCTGGTTTGCGATACATTCGATTTATCATATTACTGAATGACAATGATCCGCAATAACATCTTCGTATTATTTTCTTAGGATCATTCCATGTGGATTGCTTTCAAAAATATACAATCTGTCGATAAGGCAGTCGATGAAAAGGTATATTTCAGAATTTATTATTCTTACGGCGCTTCTATTAAGCGGCCAAAATGGTCAGACCGGTCGTATTTTGAATTGAAATTGAGTATTTGGTTAAAAATATAGTGGTGAAACTCTATTTTTTCTGCTAATCAGATGTAAATAACATTAAATCTGAATGCAGATTTCTTAAAACACTCCAAAATACCAGTAATCTGTCTGTACTGAATTACAACAGGACCGGTCTGACCGTTTTTATCGTATAAAGGAAAGCGCCCTTACTCTCATGACAGTCTCAATTAAGGCTAGTTTCCAGTCAGAAAAATTCTCCTTTGGATCGGACAGGACAGGAAAGTTTCCTTTGTATAAACGCCGCCCGAGAACTCAACAACAAAGGAAATTTTCCTGTCCGGTCCGATCCAAAGCAGATTTTTCCTGACTGGAAACTAGCCTTAAGAGGTACTTGATAGTCCAACTATAGGCATGCCTTGATTCCCAGCTATGCTTTGTATTCCGATTTGTTTATATGATGTCCTGAATAAAATTAATGCTTGGAAATATGTCGATGCTTTAGCTAGCCAACTGCTGGCCATGAACAGTCGATGTCGTTCAGTAGGTCGTTCAGAGGTACGCCTGCCCCTCTTAGGGGAGGCGGGGGGGTACATCGCCCCTTGACCATGAGTGTAACTGTCGGTCCAGTACATGTTCAATTGGTCCTATATATACACCGGTTAGGAGGGGGGGTGGCGGGGTTAGATAGAGGATTGGTGAATGTCGGTCTACTGCAGATAAAACACATGCATGGCCTGGATTGAAGACTGCTCCAGTTATTGTTACTTTCTTACCAACTTAGGCCGTGCGAAGAAGTTTGTCTGGCAACCGTCGTATATCAGAAGTAAAATGTCTGACTATTCAATGTTGCGACTTCAGAAAAATCCGTCTCACATTTGTGGACTTCAGTCAGTCATCTCAGCCTTCTATCAGTCTTACAGAGACTCTACGGCAATCATTTCTCATTCCTGAGTTCAATCCCAAGGCAGGAGAATTCCTTCCTTCGAATGGAGAGATCATTGCAAGCAATTCTTCAAAAATTGACGTGTTGCATGGCAACGATGACGAAGATGGTGATAATTGGTCGTTATGTGAAGATGATGACGTTGAGGAGGGGGAAGATATTACACACGATGAAGTAAAAATTGGTCGGTCATCGCCGCGTGTCATTAAACGTAAGATACAATAATGACATACAGTATTTGTTGGACATATAGGCTATACTATATATAGGTTAACAATACCTTGAAATATTTTAAGCAATAACTTCAAAATTATGCACATTATGATCATCATGGAATTGGATTGGACAGGACAGGAAAGTTTCCTTTGTATAAACGCCGCCCGAGAACTCACCGACAAAGGAAATTTTCCTGTCCGTTCCGATCCAAAGGAGATTTTTCCTGAGTGGAAACTAGCCTTGATACACACTCTAGATCACTTATAGATCCCGATAATCTTGACGGTGTCATTAAGTTATTGTTATAATGAAATTGCTACCTCCTCCGCAGGCCCCTATCGGGAAAATATGACGGGGGGGGGGTGATATTTTGCGGGTAGATTGCGGAGGAGGTAGATGAAATTGTCCTCATTCCCCACTAATCACTGACTTAAGCTTAGGAGCGCTATATATAGCTGCAGGTGCAAGAGAAAATGATGTTGGGAAAGAAACATTAGTCTGGACGTTGTGTTTCAGAAAGAACCTGAATGCTCCATATTATTTGTCTGGTTAACTAGTAATAAGGCTTTACCATGTCAAGTTCATATTCTTTATTATTACGGCCGTATTTTGCAAGCTTTTCTCTCATTCACTGAATTAATATACACTGTTATTGTTCTATGAAAGCTCACCCAACCCAATAACCCAGACATCGATCTGTTCGCTAGTACGTCCAAAATAGCTTTAAACAGAGAAGGCAACGTGATTCTCTGTTAATAGTTGGGATATTTCATCAATATTACCTGAGAACATATTAGTAGTGTCTATGGTAGGGATGGAGACCATAGGAAATTAATCTCAAGTGAGCAGTGCGAACAATAATTTAACTAGCAATAGATTCTTATTATCTCGTCGATAAATATATCCCATATAGGTTACTACTATAATGGTTGTTTTCGTAGGTATTTTCTCACCTTTGGCCAACTCACTTGGCGATATTGGCCGGATGTTGGCTAGTGTTCAGGGTTCTTTCACTCCAAACTGTGCAAATACTCCACCTGATGAAGCCCCAATTAAAGACGATAGAGATACAGACGAAGTCACCACCAAGAAAAAGAGGTATATAAAATAACTGTATATGTCAAAATCCCCCCCCCGTCCCTGAGTGTATTGTAAACTTACTCCTCTTCTTTCTGTTTAGTTTTATTCACGAATACGTCAATACGTTGTATGTTCGACTATCCTACCTGATACCAAGTGTCACTGATAATCCTCTTTCCAAAGAATTTGTAAGGTAATTATTGTCACCGGCGTTTTTGGAAGGTCTCAATAATTACTTACGTATTTTGAAAGCTCACTCAAGCCTGGCTTTCATGTCACGGCGGTAAAACATTATATATTAGAGTGCTTTAGCAGTCACCACGAGTACAAGATTCGTCATGCTCGCATGTTGTTTGTTTACGCCATCAGCCAACGCTCGTAGTCGTCGAGTTTTGTGTAGGATTCGTACTTGAACGTACTTGTTAATTAATTTCGTACTTCAACGCCCAACGACTACGAGTTTCGGCAGATGGCGTGGACAAAAGCACCGAGTTTGGCGAATCCTGTATTCGTAGTAACTGCTAAATTCCCTTGCTGTGGGGGGGGGGTGTTAAACTGTTTATTATACATTTAGAATATATTTCTGTTGCGAATGCCTTTTACCGTTAACGATAATTGTCTGTCTGATGTGACTGCTCTTCTGTGCAGCAACATTGCTCGTCTTAAACTGCTCATCACTCTAATAGTAATAATACGGCTAAATCTATGTGTGACTGAATTGTTATTTTAGTCTTGACGGGCTTCGAATTATTTAGAGCGTTTCCCCAAAGTACTTCATGTGGCTGGGACGTTTACAATGTTGAAAACGAATTTCGGAGGCAAGAGGTAGGGTGGTTTTGATTATATTATAGGGTGGTTTTTATGTGCATGTATACCTACTGTATGTATTGCATGATCGGTGGTAACGTTTGCCTAAATTTCCCAAATTCATGTTACTAGGTAAACGAACATTGGCGTTTGTCAGAGATGAATTTAACGTATCGCACTTGTCAGTCTTATCCTAAGTTATTTTACATACCTGCTGGGGTTGAGGTCAGTAGACGTTAAAAAAGTACTTCTGTGTTTTTTTTGCTACGTACTTTAATGGTGAATGTACTTCACAGCGTGTTTTTAAGAATGGTTTCCTTCAACAAACTTTTAAATGAGGTTATTAAACTTTAGACTTGGGTTACATATTAGATTTTGTTATAAAACCAAAGTTAATAGCAAGAAATTCGTGCTGTAACAACCTTAATGTTAAAATAAGCACCGTCCCACCTTGTTCCAGAGAGAAAAAAAAACGATCCAAAAGCGTGGCAAATCACATCGGACGAAATAAAGTACATTCCCCCCCCACACACACACAAATTTTAAAGCTAGTATATGCCTGTGCCATTCCACCATAGTTGGTCTTGTGCAAAGACAAATGATATCAATATTATTATATGGTTATAAAACATGGATTATATTGTTTTTTAAATAGGACGGAATTTTACAAAAATGTGCAGCGTTTAGAAGCAAGGTATATAAGTACTGATTATACGTGCTCTAATTTCTGACATAGACACATGTGCTTCATGAGAAAATATAAAGCTAGCTTGCGTCCAGGTACTATCTGTGACTAAGACGATTATATTCTCAAGGACTGATCTCTTTATTGTACCTGAACGCAAGCGTTCTCGCTTTTCATTGAAAAGCGCTTTGGTAGCGGGTTTCGCTACTTTTTAATCAATTGATAAAAGAAAAGTAAGTGTTGTAAAACTTTTCCCTGCCTGACTAAAGGAAACACCCATGTGACTTTGGAACTCTTTAGGGTGTCGCGAAAAGCGAGATTCGGATGAAATCAGTTTAGTTGATTTACTGTAATTGCAATTGCTTTTATATTCAGGGTCGTCTGCCAGTTCTGTGTTGGTTCAATAAAACGAAGGGAAATTTTATAATGCGATGTGCTCAACCACGCACTGGTCCAAGAAAAAAGGTATAAAATTTGTGTAAAGAATTTTCTTGAAACTTTTAGAGTACCAAAAGAGGCATTTTGGGTCTTATAGGCCAGCTGTATCAGAGTGGTGCATACTCAAGCACGCGATTAGAGTTTGTGTTATAAAAAATTATAGCTTGACCAGTTTGCATTTGCATGGAATTTATTCGCATAGCCGTAAATTGTTAGACTGCTGTAAATTATAAACGTGCGTAATTACCGAGAAACCAATATATTCACATACTTTTCCCACAGTTTAGTGTAGATGACGAATACGTAATACAAACGGCGTTGGCAACAAATACAGCTTCACGAAACTTGGTAATATTTGACGCAAGATCAGCAATCGCTGCATCCGGAAACCAACTGAAGGTACAGTCCTAAGCCCCGGTTACACTACACTCAATTCATTCGCACGTAGCGGGACTGCTGGTCATATAGTCGCCCCGTCAATAGCACTAGGGTAACCGGGCTCGTGCAAACAGCCCCTTAATATAATTAATTCCTATAGTAATATTAGTACCGTATACAGGCGGGAATGAATCAACCTAAACGGTTTAGGTTAGTCATGCACCGTGAAAACTAGCCTTGACTTGTACTTCCTCTCTACTTAATTCACATCCTTTTTGCTCGATTTTGTAACCACACAACAATATATATGTTTCATTCTTCTCTTTAGGGTAAAGGTACGGAAGATATCGACCGTTATCCTGGATGTAAACTGACTTTTCTTAACATCCCGAACATCCATGCAGTAAGGGACAGTCTGGATAAACTTCAAACAGCTTGTCAAACTTCAGAAAAAAAATGGTTCTCTCAACTGGAAGCTTCGGGCTGGATGGCGTATATTTCTTTAATTCTTCAGGTATTTTTTTATGTTGTTTTTCCCTGCATGCGCGGAATTAACAGATAATAAATAATGCAGTTTTGGATGTTCCAGATGGAGATGACGTCTACATTTAAGAAATAAGTCTAAAAAAATAACTACAAAAAGTTATAGTGTTTGATTACGATATTTTCCTATATGTGGTACAGGGCTGCCGTAAGTTGAATATAAATAAGCCAAACATTGTTTTTTGCTGCACTTTTTTTCCTTTGTTTTAAACAAAGAAACCAAATGTTATGTTAATTCATAAAATCTAGCAACCCTGATGTGATATGAGCCGAAATTGTTTAAGTGATAAAAATATGATATAGCAGGGACGCACCTCGTTACTTATTAATGAAGTTATTTATCTTTTCTTCAGGGTGCAATATCGATCGTTCGCCATGTTGACCAAAAAGGAATTGCTGCTCTTATTCACTGTAGTGATGGATGGGACAGAACTGCACAACTTTCTGCTTTATCTCAGATACTCCTTGATCCTTTCTATAGAACAATTAAAGGATTCCAGGTGAGCATATGTGCCCTTCAAGGTAATTTCTTTCGCATTACTCTCATTTTTTAGCACATGTGCTTTCATATTTCGATATGATAGTTAATATTTAATTGAACGAAGAGGTAGACCTATATATGAACCGTGAAGATGCACAGGGGTGCGCAACCTTGTAGACCTCTATCGGTAACCAAGCTTTCAGAAGCTAGGAGATCACGTTTATTCGGCTTTTACCTTTAGTTGCATGGTGAACCAAAGTACAAGCTTATGACGGAATGCTGCTAAACAGGGATAGATTTACTAGATTCGTGTACATGGCGCTCACCAAGCACCCCCCTAAAAACCTTGTCCGATCTGTCATTGATGGGTGTGATCTTAGTTAATTCTTCAATTTAGTTTACTTAGTGATTTATATTTGTACAAAATAAAATTATTATCAGCCCTGCTATTCTTTACCATTTTAGGTTCTTATAGAGAAGGAGTGGATATCATTTGGACATCGATTCCGGGACAGAAATGGTCATCCGTCCTCGAACAGCAACCAAAGATCACCAATTTTTGTTCAATTCCTTGACTGCGTTTGGCAGGTACGAGAAACATAAAACTTTTAGCTACTTAAGGCCCTGTTACACTGTGCAATTTTTCCTCCAACTTACAATGCAATTCTTCTTTTGAGAGATGTAAATTTGGCAACTACCAAACTTTTGAATTTATTACACTCCATGGCGTTTCTTACACTTGCATTTTGAAGACTATTCACTAATTTACATCTCTGAAAAGTAGAATTGCATTGCAAGTTGCAAGAAAAATTGCACCGTGTAACATATCCTTTAGATATTAATTTTCACATGCATGTATAATGGCATCGCCAAGATTGATATTGATCATTATCAATTGCTCGATGTGGCAAAAAAAGGTTTGCAAATGATGCAAAAAAATGGGTGTTTGGTCACTATTCTGGCCTGGAAAATGGTTACACCAATGCCCTAATATCGGTTTACTTACTATGTGATCATATCCTTACGTATCTTCCAAGACAATAATTCAAGCCCCATTTACACTATACAGGGTGTCTCAAAAAAAACGCAACCACTTAAATATGCAAGAATATTAATATTGTTCGGGTTTGCACCACAAATCAGCTAAAATGACTTTTAGCATTGTAAATGAAGGATAAAGAGCCATTTTCCATTCCCAGAGGTGCTTATCTATTGTGCTTTAGAGCTGTATTAATGTCTTGCATATTTAAGTGGTTGCGTTTTTTTCAGACACCCTGTATATATTTAGAGTAAACGAATAAATTTGGTACGGGTGAAATTTTTTCGTACCAAAAATTTTGCGTAGTGAAAATGAGAAAACTGAAAAACCTTTTTGTGAGGAAATCTATAAATTATTTAATTTCCATTTCCAATCTAGATAATAACTCAATTCCCTACCTCATTTGAATTCACTGGGGAATATCTGTTAAGAATTGTTGATCATTTGACCACAGGCTGGTAAGAATGTAGTTCTCTATACTGTTGTACCCATTGGCCTGAAATTGGTTTAAAAGGACCTATTTCGGTATCAGACACTGAAATATTCTCGTATTTTAATATGCATGGTAATCCGCGATCTAGCTAAATATGGGCCCTGGAATCCAAAATCCAGTTTTGGCATTGATGCGTTAGGATCTCTAATTGGTATATTTACCGTTATTGCATCTGTAGTCTGCAATTCATAATATATATAGTAACCTCCCATCGAGGTGATCAATCATACCTCAAGGCTCTTTTCATTTTTACATTGTAGCGCTCAGACATACGGCAGTACGTTACAGGACTTGCATGTATATAGCTAGAAGTAAACTTTTTAGTAATCAGCTTAACAAACTTTTCAATATTTACTGCATAGGCTACGCAAATTCGTAACGATTCGCGCTCACCCCTACCGTCTTGATTTTGTTGTAATTATTTTGGATGAAGCATGTTAAAATTTTGTGTTAAAATTTTCCATCTTTAATGGAATTGCTTTTGACATCGTATATTTTTCCTTATATCGTAAAAGGTTTGGTACATTTGCGTGTAATAATGACAAAGAAAGAAATGAAGAAACTAATTGTCTCAGTTCGATATCATTATGGGCGCACCTGGATAACATTCAAGACGAATTTAGAAATGAAAATTATATTTTTGATGAGGAGGTAGCTATATTCTATACATTGAGCATATCATTCATTCAGCTAAAAGTAAGGACTATTTACTGATTTTCGAAGACAGCATTCATGCGTGCTTTATATTTAACCAGGTCTTACATCCGACATCAAGTCTACGCCGTCTTCCTCTTTGGTCTGACTACTATTTGCGTTATGACGAAACATTCTGGGCAGCAAACCAGCTCTTTGAATATGGGCAACAAATTGATATGGATGACGTAAGTAAAGTGCTTTCACTCAGGAGGAGCAAGGGATGATGGGACCAGGCCCTGAGAAAATAGCCTTCAATGAAAGTAAATGCATGTAACCCACAGTCTTTTTAATTTCCATCCCACAAACGTAAATCACGTCAAAATCTATTGAGCGTCGCTCCTCAGGCTTCTTTCCTATTCTCGTTTAGAAAGTTGATGGACCGTCCGTTCCTGAAACAGTTGTTTGGGTTGCCAATGAACGGGTGAAAGATTGCCATGATTGTAAAACAAAGTTCACGCATTTTAACAGACGAGTAAGATTGCAAAGCTAAACTTATAATTAGTGTTTAATTATGCAAAGTATCCGTTTATGTATCCGTATCCGTATCCTTGGGTTTTTGTTGAAAAATAAGTTATAGCCACTGAGGATAGGTTAATGTGTCCATGATCAGTGGCGTAGCCAGCCTGACGATTTTGACCCGCTATGTAAATTTCATGTTATTATAATTATTCATGTCTATAGAAATTTATTATTTTCACAGTCAATGAACAACAAAATATTAGTATAGCGGGAAAAATCGTCAAGCTGGCTACGCTACTCTCCATGATAATCACTTTTCACTAGGCACTGGATGAATAATCATTATACTCTTGAAAATAAAAATAATAACAATCAAATTACTATCTTCCTATCGTCTAAGATAGTAATTTGCTGGGCCGATGCTGATGTGTAATGAACATTTTCTTGAGAAGCAAAAAGATTCGAGCTTTGGGGCAAAAAGGGAAATGCCCTGGGAACGAGGTTGTTGTTAAAGGGGATCCTCACTAAGGTTTAATCAGCCAATAACAATGGGCGATTTTAGAGCGATTGAAAAACCACTATCGGGTGGATAGCGCTAATATCGTGCGTACATAATTAGCACATTACCCGGCTTTAATACAAACGGCTCCTGCTCTCCATAATTATTCATAATTACTGGGAAAATTGTCTTATCTAACTTCCAGCCGTATTCACCCCCCCCCCCACGATTCATACGAAAGAGAATTTGCATATGACTGCATATGCTTTAAATTAAGAATTTTTCTTTTTTCCTCTATTATAGCATCACTGCAGGTACTGTATACGTTTTAATATGAAATATAAAATGTCGCTTCAAATGAGGCTTGTTTTTGCTATTTTTTGTATTAAATATCATTTGTAAATGTCCATCAAATAATGAACCTAGGTTTGTGTTAATCCGGGTCGATCAGAACCGGGTTGTTATTTAAGGTATAAACGGGGTTTATTGCATTTGTAATTTTTCTTTATTGTAGAGCTTGTGGCCAGATATTTTGCAATGACTGCTCATTGCATCGTATAACTTTGTCGAGACTTGGCTATAAAAATCAAGAGCGTGTTTGTGATAGATGTTATATCAAGTATAGGGACGAAGCGAAGAAGCGTGGCGCAGATATATCAAAGGTGAAGTTTTTTTTGTATCTTTTGATAACAGGGAGTGAAGTTATTAAAGTTATTTATTTATTTATTACTCTCTGTTTTTTTAGAACTGCGATGTAGGTTCGTTTCAGGTGTTATGAGGCTATACTTCATGTATAACAACACTATAGTTAAGGAAATCAAATTTTAATCAAATTTTAATCTTTATTTTCATATAGAGATTTATATATTTATATTAGCAATTGAAATTAAATTAGATTTTAAGTTTCTTTAAATACCTGTCAATGGGTCGAAGTGACTTAGTCGTGACTTGTATGTGAGAATACAGGGTGTATAAAAAACTGCAACCCTGATAATTCTCAGAGGCCTATATACGATGTTTTGTTATTGAATAGAAGCCAACATATATGAATATTACAGTGGTTGCAGCTTTTTTTAAACACCCCGTAGAATTGACACGTCGTATCATATGCATAAGAAAATTTATTTTAGGAGAGCAATTTTGGAGTTGCGTATTATATAGCTTTGTCATTTTATAAAAGTATTGTTTCTTGTTTATATTATCGTTTATATTGTTTATATAAATTGTTTATATATATTTAATCAATAATGCATCAGTGTACGGTTTATTATAAAAGTATTTTGGATAATGTGCAGTGTGCTTGAATCAATTTTTGTAATTTTTTAAATGTTAAATATCAGCAATCAAATTGCTTTTACATACAATTGAAGTAATTATTTTTGTCATTAAACAATTATTGTCAATTCGATGCCTTAATACTTTGCTTTAATTTTAATTTAAAATTAATTGCCCCAACTCAGCTATGAAGATTATAAGTATTTCTTGCAAGTGCATGCGATGTTGACAATACAATACAAAAACTTCATTACGTCGTGCTTGCTCAATGAAAGTACAAATTATTGAAAAAGATTCATGGAAAGTTTCAAAATGAACCAAATTTTATCTCTTCCTGTGCAGCGTTTATCTCTTTCATTGTCGCATGCATTGCAAAAAGCCCTTGGGGCAAATATTTTCAAAATCATATAATTTCAGTAACAATTATTATTTTAACATCCGCTACCCATTATCATAATTATAAAAAATACTATTGATGATAAAAAAACCTCATAAATCATGATCATTCTCCATTTTTTCGTCAACATCCTCTTATTCAGTTGACGTGATCACCAACATTTATAACTTTTACGAAATTATAAACCGAAAATTTGAAAGTGCTAATCATTGTAACCATGGCAACCCACTAAAGCGATAGAATAAAATTATTTCATGTTTTTTTCAGTTGAATTATATACTCGCTATTGCATAGCACTTACAATTCTTCATTTCGAATTTCGATGACTTACACCGCGGAATGTCATACGAAATATACGAGGAAATTTGTTGTGTATATAACATAAAAGATATCAATGAGTTAGTGCCATCTTTTATAACAAATCAATGATTCTTAATTAATTCATATTACTTAGAGTCTTGGTGGGCAATTAGAGTGGGTGAAATCCATACATTCCAAATTTATAAGTGGAAACGATGTAACTAACTATTCACTTCGAGACTCTGTGAACAAACGTGCTGTTCCATTACCCCGCACAAAATTATCTTAAAGACAGCTTAAGTTATAGTGATGCGGTCTTGTGGAACAGCCTGCCTAGTAATGTCCATAGAGATTATAACACTAGAGGCGAAATTGGGGAGCGCCTTAATGGGGGGCAATTCAAGTCCCGGGTGTTCACTCATTCACGATGTCAGAGGCCAAAATAAGTCGTTTTAAAGTCGTTTTTCCCTAAAATATCTAACGTGTCTAAGGTAGTAAAACCAGTTAGAAAAACACTGTTTCTGCTCAAAAACCGGGAAAGCGACCTAATAAACAAATTTTAGTAGTTGTTAACGTGGTTGCTTAGGTGACATTGATGTAGCCAATAGGCGCTTGCCTTAGCATCCGGGACTTGAATTTGCCCCCCATTAACGCGCTCGACGCTCCCTTTTTCGACTAATTCCGATACTAATGCCTCCTCTAGTGTTATTTATAATCTCTATGGTAATATCAGACAAGCAGAATCCCTCAATGAATTTCAAAGATTGTTGAAATGTCATATTCGACAAACACTGCATTCATGGAAATAGGCTTATGAATTTGATTCATATAATATATATTCAGTGTGTGGCCTATATATAGTTTAATGTAGAATAGGCCCTAATTGTAAGCCTGATGAATCCACCGTCAATATATAAACTTCAGTTCAGTTCAGGCTATACACTTATTGTATTAAAATTATAAGTATAGACTCGTCATTCTATAAAGTTCCATTTTTCTCTTGCATGCATATCATTCCACAGGGACAGCACAGCGACATAAAAATCTTTGATAGAGAGGTATCTGAGTATATTTTTAGTAAAAGAAAGAACCTTGACTGCTTAATAACTTCCTTTTATATAGCTAATAGTTTTTCGAGAATCTGCCTAAGTATTTGAGGTAGTTTTTTCGAAATGTATTTAAGGTATTTCATTCCGATCGGAATTTATTGACGTCTTCTGTGACGACGTATATACAAACGGGTCACGCGATATTTAATGTTCAAAGTTCAAGATGGCGCACGGTAACTAAAGTACAGAGTTCGGACATCGTGAAACACCTGTGCAAATTTATTATATATATTAACCATAACGACATTGATAAGAAATTCTATACGTAGATGCCCTCTGTTTCGCTTTTATCCGTAGTTTGCAATTCCCAAGGGGGAACCCTTAATTTAGGGGATGGCACAATCACTGGGCACACCGAAAACCCACCGCCACTAATAATAATGATACATGCATGCAGCAGTTAACCATTTGCTTTCAAATTTCCATTGATGTTTTGCTAATGGGCAAAAAGCGTCGATCTAGTTGCATAGCTCGCCGGGTCATAATGCAAATATATCAATGACATACTGTATAGATGTTCAAAAAAATACCATGCGTGGCATACCAAATTGGCCGGATATATTAGTAGCTATTGATGAAATTACTACGTGTATTGGTTTCAATATAAAAAAAATTCGGCATGGCAATATAGATTTTGGACCCTTTGTCACCGTCACGAAATACCGTAAGACATATATAGCTATAATAAATTATAGACGATTTGAATTGATTGATTAGCTACATGAAAATAAGAAACTTGTCAAAGAATAATGACGCACGTATGCGCACGTTGCGTGGTTTGTGGCTTATATAATCCTTAGCAATTTCTCAATTATAGAAAACGCCACAACAACTATCATTCATTACAATAAACATTGCAACTTGGGAAGTTCTTGTTGTAACGTGGGAGTTCCTATTTATGTATATTAAGGTCGACACATTCGCGGCGTGAATTTCAGTCAGTTTTCAGAAGCATATAAATTAAATTATGGAAGCAAAATTAGGAATCTATGGACGCCAGAGCAGTCAAAATGTATTATTGTTATGTGATATACAAGAATATTATGATAGGTTAAAATTTATTAAATAAAATTCGCGTCCTGCATGCATGTGTGGGTCTTAAGCCTTTCCCACAATGACGGATATCCGCTATTTTTGGGATACTTTTTATTTTCCTGAATAGCTTTATAACAATCTGAAAAAGTAACAGAACAATTTCGTTGATCAAATAATGTTTTATTGCTGGCAAATCTAGTTTACGGATAGATCATTAACTGATTACAAGATGCATGATTACTGGCTTCACTGCGGTTTAGTGCTCATTTTTGCGTCAATGTGAGCACTTAATATGTTGTGTGTTGTATGTATACATAATCTGTTTGTGTCATGGGGATCCACGGCTCTTTCGCGATTTGGGATTCCTATCTTTTAGCTATGACCCCTTTTGGGTGAAGTCCAATATTGGGAATAGAAGAATAGCAAAATAGCCCCCTAAGGAGAATTGCAAAATAGCCAGCGCACAGCCTCTTCAATAAATTCTCATCAATTGTGCATAGCAACTTGCATGGCAGCTTGTGCATGGCAGAATAAATTACACAGCTTAATTTTATATCATAATAACCAACCTCATTCAACGAAGTTGCCTAATAACAACGCTCATTTTTTAGGGTTATATAGTTAGGGTTTTAATCTATATTATAGTAATTTATTCCGCCTTACCCATGCACTGGATCCGCACTGAAAAGCTTCCTATAAGAGGTTTGTAAGACACTAAACACCTACTCTCCAGACGCGTGCGCGCCTATTGGTCGATACGTCGAGTAGCTTCCTTTTCATACTTTAGACATGTTGCATAAGTTATAAACTACCTTTGATGAACACCAGAAGTCTAATTATATATAATGTATATAAATACTGTGACGTGACAATGTTATTGAATCTTTGTCTTTTTATTTTACAATATCGGTAAATGCGATGCAACAGTCTTAATTTTGAGTGCATCATTAAATACAGTAGTTTTAAAAATACTATAATGATTATAATTGACATCATTAACATAAAACACCTATAAAACACACTCCCACAGTTCTTGCAACTATATATATATATGCTCATGAGCTTATATCGATCATCCTGTGCTGTTAAACAAAACAAAACTTAATTCAATTCGAAGTTCGAAAAGTGTGTCTCTTTCAATATGGAGGCTGATTATGAAACCTTGAAAAGTAACATGGACCAGTTTTTCCTTTTTGTGAATGGTTTCATCATTGTGTGTAAGTGATTTTAACTGTTTTAAATTTCCTTCAGTTGTTAAAAGTGGTAACTATTGCAATGGTCAGTGTGCTTTCCGTTATACAACTGTCCGTGTTTGACTGATATTCCTGCTGTTAAAGTTTAGGTTTTAAATTGATTATGATATAGCTAATGTATGAATAATGATAGCTATCTGTTATGTTTTATTCTCCAAAGATTTCGCGATGTATCATGTATAATCTATGATTCTGTAGAAATATTAGATCTTATGGGCTAATCCTCTAATGGAGAGTTCCAAAATCGAGATGCATGACCTTAGTTTTCTTAGAAACAACAAACGTATATCGCAGGTAGAGAGATAAGGCATAGAAGGAATAAATTATGGTGAACAAATTTTTGTTATGGTTTACTATTACTTTAGAGAGTGCGTAAACCATCAGACACAGTCATATAGCCCTAGTTTTGTATTAGTAAATTATAAAAACACTTTCAAGTTTCAACTTACATGAGAAGATCGTGCCCACTTTACGTGCCCACTGTAAGGCTGAATGAGGCATTTTGGCGAGAACATTAAATATGCCTTAAGTGGTCATTCACTGAACTGTCATTATTGAATGATGATCCAAATAGTTATATTTTTATCATTCGTGTATAGTAGCGCTGCCCATGCATATAAATAGATTATACAAGCTTTAGACCCGTTTCAGACTTTGAACTTTTCATGCGCCGATACGAATGCAAATGAACTTATATAAAGCACCGTTGCTATCTATAGCTCTCTGTTTTGAATCTATCCGTAGTTTGCAATTCCCAAAAGGAAACTCTTAATCTAGGGGAGGGCATGCACCTTCACTTGGCACTCCGAAAACCCACCGCGCCAGTAATAACATATACATGCAGCATTAAACCATTTGCTTTCCAATTTTCACTGATGTTTGGCTGTTGGGCGGGAAAAAAGCGTCGGTCTATGGCTTTCACTCTAGTTGCATAGCTCAAAATGTAGCTATATATTTCAATGACAT